TGTAACAGTTCCTTTACCAGTTAAATTATTATGTAAAATTCAGTGGGAGGTTTCATTTTTCTGTAAAACATTTCGACATTTTAGTAATAAAAAAAGTGACATGTACATATTAACATAATACTATGATAGTTTTGTTTGTCAGCTGGATGGTTTCATACATGTACATGAAATACTGATCTCCGGGCAAATGTTATTAATATCAGCAACCTTAATCACTCCTCTAAACGTCCTTTTTTAACTCTATAATACGTGAGTTTTTTAGCATTATGTATCAATTCACATGTAGAATTACTTGTATGTTAAACTCTGATGGAAGATGGATTAACTTTTTTTCTTGACTTTTTGGAGATTGTTTCGGTTAACGAATACACCGAACATGCTGTGTTTTCTTTAGCACATTTTCAGCATAATTAGACTTGGATGGGATACATGTTTGATATTACAGTTCACCAGGAAACGATCGCTCGATGTCCGTCGTCCGACAAAATAAGATATTGCATTAATCACAATCATTTTTCAAATTTTAGAGAATATTCAGTAAACTGTTTCACCAAGGTCTTTGAAGCAGAAATGGTTGATTGTCTCCCACGATTATAAGGATATCGTTCGTCTTTTCTTAATGTTGACAGGTCTATAAAACATTCACTTCTCGTGGATCATTTTACGGATAATCATTAGTTATGTTACACAAAAACAACCGAATTTTGAAAACCCAACAAACCTTTTATAGGGGGATTTCTTAAAGTTGCTAACTGATTTATACGTTATTTTGTTTCTTATTCTTCCAGTAATACTGTTTTCCAATACTGACTCACTAATTACATTGTTTCTTTTTCAATTGAAAAATCAAGCATTAATTCCTATTGATAAACATGTAAAGTGCTTGTGTTGGAAATAGTTCTAGCATCAGAGCTTAAATTTGAGTGCGTAGCTGCCACTGGGGCTTTAGTGTCAGTCCTTTTGACATGTTCGCATGTGAACAGTTTAATAATTTAAATAGATGCAGTCCGCTATCTCGTTGTTTATTGCATCAAATATATAGATCATTTCGTTGACAAATTAGAAGTTCTTATACTTGATGAGGCAATATAAAAGTTAAAGTACTAATACAGAAAAAAAAACCACAAAACAACAGCAATGAAACATTTGCCTACTTTGAGAATACAGAGCATGAATTTGTCTTTGACAATAATAGGTCGATCTGTTAAAATATTGATGAAAATTAGAATAGTAAATGTATCCATTCCTATACCAGGAGAGAAATAACCAATATACTAACAAGGAGGCTCGATCGTCTGCGGTATTGTTAACGATAAATTCTGTATTCTATTAAACGGACTTCTTTATAGTTTTACTGGGTGTGTCACTGGTCTCTATGGATATTGAAACATTATCTTTTAAATACCGCGTCAACATATTATACAGTTTGGGAGGTATGGATTTTTGTTTTATTTTTACATACTAGTACTGTCTGACCGTGTGAAATTTTAATGAATTTATTCGATAATTCATGTAACAGTTGATGAAGAATAAATTCCACTATAAATTGGCTTGTTTTCTATGGTGAAAACTGTCATGCTTTTTTCTATGAATATGGATGTTTTCTGATGCTTTACGACTGACTTACACTGCATTTTTCTGTCTTCACCACATATATTTTATATCATGTGATATTGCTATAATATTAGGGGCGTCCGTGGCCGAGTGGTTAAGGTCGACCATTTTCATGTTTGTACTATTCTTAGTTTTCTTTAGGTTGCTAGGCTGCCAACTTCAGGCTGTTAAGCTGCCAACTTCACGAACATTTAGTAATTTTAGTTGGCCAGCCCGGGAATCGAACCCACATTGTAGAGATTACAAGTCTCGCGCTCTATGCGGGCTGGTAACTACTAACTATATATCAACTATGTTTGCTATATAAACCTTCTCAAGCGGTTCGGGTTAAATATATAATTGGCTACACGTCAAAATCTTTATAACTCCTAATATATCATGTACTGCTATACTTTTGGTTATGGTACAGTAATATGTAAAAAATATGAAGTTTTGCGCAAGATTGAAAACGCTATAAAAAGAAATATTGAATTTACTTTTATTAAAAAAAAACCAACAACAACAACAACAACAAAAACATACACACATTTTTTTCTGTATACTATGGAGATATATTTGAACAAGTACACGGACTAGAGGCCATATTTGTGGAGCCACGATCGAGTCTATAAATTTTCATATGACGAACAAAATAGTGTTAAATAAATTATTTACGTTTAACAGAATGTATAAAACAATGGTTATATCCCGCCGTTATTTGTCGGAGAGGGGCGTTCTTGGCCATGTGGCTTCAAACCACTAGCCCCTCACCCATGTGGGTTCGAAACCCGCTACCTAACACCGGTGGTGCTACTCAGGTGCCAGTTTGTGGGTGTTTTGTTGGAGATTATATTCTGTTGGTGTTTTTTTTCGCAGGTTATATTATGTGGGTGTTTTATAGGTCATATTTTGTGGGTTTTTTGTCGTAGGTTATATTGCGTGGGTGTTTATGACATAGGTCATATTTTGTGGGTGGTTTGTTGGTTGCTATATTGTACCCGTGGTATATTGGAGGCCAAATTCAGTGAGTGATTTGTTAAGAGGTTATATTCTGTGGGTGGATTGTTTGAGGTTATATTCTGTATGTGTTGTGTTGCATGGATGGTTCATGGATGGTTTTATGGAGGTTATATTCCGTGTGTAGTTTGTTTGAGGTGATTTGTTGTTTAGGGTTTCTGTAGGGTTTATTGTACGTTATTTTCTGTGCAGAGGTGTGGCGATGGTAATATTTTGTTGGTGTTTTGTCGGGGGTTATATTTTATATGTTTTTTGGATAATTTTATATTCTGTCGGTCTACTAATGTTTTAAGTCTCTTTTACGGATCATGTTTGAGAGAAAAAATATCTACCGGCATTCAATTTTGAATATGTATTTATATCACTTAATATTATATTGTTGAATTCACGATGCACATTTAGAGTATTCATATATTTGTTATTGGATATACGCTGTAAAAGCTATAAACCAATATGTACATGCTTCTGCAGATATCGATTAAAATAGATATTGGATCATATATAATGGTGATATATTTTAACAAGCCTCTTTTAGCGATCGGGAATCGGTTTACACTTCCTTAGTGTTTTTATTATTATTTTTTTTTTTTGCAATGTCGCATCTCGTGATGTACCAAAAAGTTCACATATATTTTCGGGATCACGATTATAGGTTACAGTACAAGATACATAATTCTCGTTTAATTTTTACGGATTTATATCCCTTTAGATAAAAAAATAATCCCTGGTTAAAGTGATATCCCCACAGCCATATAATTTAAAAGCTGAAATTGTTATATGCATTTCTTTACAAATCCATTTTATAATTTAAGAAATTTACTTCAAAGTTTTATTATCGTTGTTTCTAATCGCCATCCGCATCGCATATATAGCTATAACCCTTTCAGCAAAAATGTATTTTCACTAAATCGTTTCCTTAGCTTGAACGTTTAACTACAAATTTGCAAAACAATTTAGCTGTTTTACCTCAGACTTTGTTGTTTATGCTTTATTTTAGTTGTTTAATACATGTAATGTTATGAAGATTATTTGAATGTATAGGTTTTATGCCCTTTGCTTCGAAACGTTAGGTAAGTTTTGAGACTACGCTGATGCTTTGTGACATGACGACATTGGAAATAATTTCGCGACATTTTACAGTATGATGTAGGTCTAAACCAATAACGTGTATATAAAATTTCAGATCATTTGCTCACTGTTTATTCAAGTTTAAATACCTTTACAGCTGCATGCCTCCAGATGAACCAGACTATTTCAAGAAAATCAAATTTGAGAAAAAATGATTTTAAGAATAGTAGGAAGATTCAAGTCATAATTAACATGTTATCAGCGATTTATTTAATTGATTAAGCAGTATTCATCACCGTATTTATACTGCGTTACTAACGCAGTAAGTAAGGGCTATATTTGCATATTTTTATCTTTTTTATTATTTACCTGGACTGCATGTGCCGTTGACAATGTGTAAATTACTTTCTTTGTTCACTTCGAAATATTTCACTTTAATATGAAAATTGCCATGCATTTGGAGGCATGCTGCTTTAACTAAAATCGAATAAATATCGCTTTTCAGTTTAATTCTGGATACTATTATATTCTTCATAAATTTATGCTTTAAGGTGTTTTTTTTAATTTCTGCTCTAAAAACACCACAAATTACGTAACTATGACCAAGTATCATCTTTATGCACTCATAAAATTATCCTATTAATAACTTATACTACACAAGCTTGGCAAGCGTACATTTACCCAAGTTGCTTGCCCTTTATGAAAAATATGATGGAGATATGAATAAATGTCTTTACTCCACTTTTCGATGAATTGAAGGCCTATCCTATTTACCTGGCGTTGGCATTTTATTTTTTTATTTTTATGGTTAAAATTTTGCGTGAAACTTTTTTTATGAACCACTTTTCGCTGGTATTTGACATGACTCTATCATGGGTTTTATCAGAAAAATGGCCATTGTGAAATTAGAAAATTCTTTGCGTTGAACACTAATCTTTAAAACTACTAAATGTATACTCACGTTACCGGTATGAGAGATCACTGTCCAATGCCTCTAATTCTCGCATTAGTTTTTACCGATTTATGGCACTTTGTAAGATATGACACTTTAATTACAAGTACATCATGAAAACTGTTTTGCTCCTTATTGTCAGAAGTGCGTGTGTGTTGGTGTATATTTAGTACATTAAATATGTTAGGGGATGGTTTAAAAATGCAGGTACACAAATAAATTAAATTTATCTCATTCATGCACTTTTTGTGGAAGAGAATAAGAAACCGCACCGCTAGTACTTGACTATACATACATGTAGTTTCTTTTACCTGGTACTATTACAAGATAGTTGAGCGCGCTGTATCATCTGACAGCTCTTGTTTATCGTATTGTACAATTTCGTACATGCGCAGGTGTAGCGTATATCAAATGCGATAATCATATTTTTTTGAAAGTTATAACTGATCATGTTAACATACGTATAATAACTTAAATGTTCGGATAATACTAGTAACTACAATATTTATTGCAATGGTACTGATTTATTTACAAATAACATGTAGAAAACTGTGCTCGTAAATTGTGTCTAGTGAATCACCGTAAGGGATATTATCTTATATTATACTTTCATCAAACAAAATAACGACCACATGCTATAATGAGAAAATGACAAATATGCATCATTCAACGCGCCCTTTCATCCGCAGTGAAAAAATGTTTTATGAAGATCACAGCTGGGGATGATGATATATTTCTCTTTGTGCTGTATATTTAAACTTTTATTAACGTAGATATACATGGATTTAACAATTTTAGAGGTTTGTGCATATTTTTTATTTAAGTTTTTAAAAAAAGTCGCAAAATACATGTATATAATGTTGTGAAACGTTTATGTTTTTTTGATTCCGTAAAATGTATTATTATTATTATTATTATTATTATTATTATTATCATAATTATTGTTGTTATTATTATTATTATTATTATTATTATTATTATCATCATTATTTTTATTACTATTATTATTATTAATATTATTATTATTATTATTATTATTATTATCATTATTATTATTATACTTACTGTATACTTATTATTATTATTATTATTATTGTTATCATTAAAATTATAATTATTATAATTATTGTTATTATAATTATTATTATTAAATAAATTTCTTACAAACTTAACACTTCAAAATATATTTAACCCCTCTCCGTAACAACATAATTTTTACATATGTCGTACAACTCGCCCATAACCCGGTCATATAATCTCGTTCAATCCTATAAAAAAAGCCACACCCGATAATATTGTACATTGTACAACACAACCACACAAACATCGTACAACACGACACAAACATCGTTCATCGTACAACACAACCACACAAACATTTTATATGGTACAACCCAATCACTCAGACATCGTACAACACAACGACACAAACATCGTATATCGTACAACCCAATCACACAAACATCGTACATCGTACAAACCAGCTACACAAACATCGTACATTGTAAAATCCAACCACACAAACATCGTATATCGTACAACAGAACCACACACACATTCTATATGATACAACCTAACCACACAAACATCGTATATTGTACAACAGAACCACACAAACATCGTACATTGTACAATCCAACCACACAAACACCGTATATCGTACAACAGAACCACACAAACATTCTATATGATACAACCCAGCAACACAAACATCGTATATCGTACAACCCAACCACACAAACATCGTATATTGTACAACAGAACCACACAAACATCGTACATTGTACAACCCAGCCACACAAACATCGTATATCGTACAACAAAGCCACACAAACATCGTACATTGTATAAGTCAATCATACAAACATCGTACATTGTACAATCCAACCACACAAACATCGTATATCGTACAATACAACCACACAAACATCGTACATTGTACAACCCAACCATACAAACATTGTACATTGTACAACCCAACCATACAAACATCGTACATTGTACAATCCAACCACACAAACATCGTATATTTTTACAACAGAACCACACAAACATTGTATATGACACAACCCAACCACACAAACATTGTACATAGAACTTCCTGTTAAATCTAACAATAATAGTTGATTTTGAGAATATTGTAATGATACCATATTGTTTTGGCGAATCTATCCTCTAATGATATTATTATTCTAACCAGCAGATGTGTACATAAGGAAGATTTATATCAAAGTGTTTAATGCCTGTAGATAATTGCTGCCATTACATATACAGGTATACCTTTAATTGTAATAAAGTGTAAAAACATTCATCAAATGAATCGAGTTTTTGCTTTGTTTGTCGGAAGTTAATGTAATAGACACGCGATGTATCGAAATCACAGACATTATTATGCTGCAGAAACTGTGCTGCACAATGAGAAATATTTATATATTTATTGGATATACATAGATACAATTGTATGGAGGGTAGATCAATTTGTAAGCTGGTAATATAAGAGAGAAGCACATAGAAAGAGTATAGGAAGTATTTCTAATACGTCTACTTTCCTACTTGAGACTAATGCATTTTTTCTTTGACTACTGCAGTACAGTGTCAATTTTCAACTGGAATTTCTGGATAATAAATGGAGGAATGTTGGCGGCGTCGTAAGCACTTAGAACTGTGAGAAACTCCTACATTTGCCAATGTGATTAAATTGTATCCATCTATTTATTCATTTCTTTGGGGTGAGGGTGGGAGGTTAAAGCCCCCTTTTTTAAACCTGATTTTCTTCGGTGATAATTACTCCTACATTCATGTCTCAAGGGATTCCAACCAAACACTCTCAGAACCATGGGTTACAAATGGTTGTTGTTGTTGTTTAAACGTTTGACCATTTCGAGTCATTGTAATGTATTGGTTTAAACATATTTATTTAAGCTCGATTGCGAAATTGTATTAATCATTTTCGAATCCGCTTCCTGAAACCAATCAATACTTTTGTCATATAAAGAAACATGGTCGTGTCCCGATCAGGGCTCGAACCCATTATCCCTGGGTTGAGAGGCATACACCTTAACCACTAGGCCACCATATTATTGTAATAGATTAATTGATTATTCCTTTAATTGGTTAACGTTGTACTCAACAATATTTAACTGAAATATTTAAGAGTAAATGCTGATTCTTCTTTTCTTTTCTTTTTTTAAATATTTGCAATTTATTTGATTGAAATGCTGACGGGTTTGCTTTTCTTGATATCATAACTCTTTCTATTATCTATTTCCACTTACAAAAAGATGATTTTACATAAAGTATATATTGTTCAATAGGGTTGACATACGGACATAAGGCCAGAATGACACCGTGGACTTATTCGATTGTATGGAGAAATTTGTTTCTGCCGTTGTATTTATTTTTAATATGTGGCAAAAGATCATGCATACATTTAGCTTTTATTCGCTTTGTATATCACTCGTCATTGGTTTCCACTTTTATAGAAGCAGTATGATTTGCTAAAAAGAAAATGTGTATACCCTTTAGAAGCAATACAACCGGCTGAAAAGAGTACTTTGTATTCCTTTGCATAGAAGTAATATATACAATCGGCAATCTGTTGTCGGGTTGTAAACTTATTAACCAGCCCTCCACAAACAATAATGTAGGTCTGACATTGATTGTCGTGATGTTACATTCGTTTGCCAACTGCTGCCAAGTGTTCATGTTTACAACCTTCATATTTTATTAATCTGTTTCTAAACACAGTTAATCTGATCTACATATATAATAACACTATAGACATGTATAGTATTACCCAATTCTTATCGTCTGCATTCGTAAGTTTATACTGCAGAACAAGTATTTTTGTTTCTTTTTTATTATATAAGCAAGAATCTTCGTTGAAAATCACGCTAGAATTTTTTTATAGCTATATAGAACTGCTTTTTAGCTCGACTTCTTATCCCAGCGTCGGCAGGAAAATACTTCGCCCAAGGGATTAATTTGGAACTTTAAATGTTCGTTACTTATCATCGCCCAGATCATCAACTTTAGCACCTATATTTTAAGAATTATCTTCCTTTTGAACTTAGAATTTTGCTTAAATGATGTTATTTTACTGATACTTTCTTGTTACTGAAAATGTAGACCATTTGAGTTCCTAGTAAAACGTTAGTTTTAAAGGTGTATTTTCATTTGTCAATGAATGCAGGGCCAAGTAAAATGAACGATTAAATAGCACATCAGGTATGTAATGTTGTTTTTGCACGAACTGATTCCAGAAAAAAAAGAATATCAATGTAAAATAGATCGATTTCGGAAGTTGCGTGTTTACCACACTGCCATTTTGATTTATACCACCGGTGGGAAATTAGTTTCAAAACAACCACGTTTAAGGTAAAAGTTAGTTTAGATCAGAAAGAAATCTGACCGCTAATTGCACACAGACTCTTCATAAATAATTTGCGATTGTTCAAGCCCTAAAATCTATAATATTGTATAAGTTTGTGTGAGGAAATCTATATTTGTTTTATATCAACGGCGTAATATAGGTGTAGACCCGTCTTTTAACTTATAGGGATCGTAGGTTCTTGATACCAATTCATTATTCCAGAATTTTATATAATTTCTTTTAAACTTGGGATAAATGATTATCTTTGTTTTAACTACAGGATATGTTAAGCGGAATAGACAGTGACTACGAATGAAGATTAAATGCGAATATATTTTTTATTATTATTATTTTGTTTGAATGCACGTGCGATGTTACATAATAATTATGTAATTGTTGTACTGAAGTATTAGCTTCATGAACATTTAATATATTTCAGATATGAAGAGCTGAAAGTATCATGAAGACTATAAACTACGCAGTGTTTTTCTCCACATATCTTCTCATCCAACAACACGTGTTTTCTTTGTCACATGAACCTTTTCTATTCACACCCGGAAGTTCGTCAATCTTGGTATTCCTTGACCTTCATCGTAGTTATTATGACGGCTCGTGTGCTGATCCAGATTGGAATGTCTTTGAATTGGCGCAAAGTCTGCACTGGAAGTCAAACCAGGAAAACGTAACAGGTTGTTATAATATAACGTTCATTGACACAATTTTGCGCCAAATACGTCACAAAAGTGACTTAATGTACTTTATGAAAGTTACCAAAAAGTTGGAAGAACTGTTTCAGCAATCTTGTTGATGGTATAAAGCAATATTGTTGATAGTATAAAGTGACTTGTGTCTGTAAATCACAATTTCTAAGCAGAAAACATTAATTGAAAAGTATGGGGTGTATTAAATATTAGATTAGAATAAATAATGTAGTTAATACGATTTCACTGTGTTAGATTTCTGCTTGTTTTCTTTTCGGTGACTTGAGTTTGAAATTCTATAACTAAATCGCACAAGGAATGTTAAATGATATCATTACATATGTTTACAGTGATTTTCCCCTGTATTTTATAGCCGAATAAAGGCTGTTTCCCCTAGACCAACATAGGTATATTTCCCCCTAAACCCCTTTTGCACATTCTTCATCAGAACGATGACTTAACATCAGCTGACCTATATTAGCTAGAAGACAGAAAGCTGTCCCTATAGATAGCCTCTTCTAGTACCATTAATGTTGAATTGAATTATAATTGAAAAAAAAATAAATGTATGGGTAAATTCCATTCTCAGTGGTTGGAATTTGATTTCCCCTTTTCTGATTTATCACGCTATATTTTCCCCTTCAGAAAGCCACAATTGAAAAAAATCACTGGTTTATTGATTATATTTACAGGGATAGAAATATATGATACATGCCGCTATCAAAGACGGGTTCAAGACATTATTCGTCAAAGACTGGTGCCCGAAAATTGCCTTAAACAACCACTTCCTCCTGTATCAGGTATGTTCTATATTATAATAAATTATACTACAAGCGACAATGCTTGCTTTGTGAACATCTAATTTTTAAGATATATGAAGTAGTAATGCAAACGATGAATGAACAGTCTTGTTTCTTAAAGCATCGGTTGCTTCTCTGCCATACACAGTTTTTGTCACACGATGTAGCAACGATAGCTTGGTGAACATACGCTGTATTAACGTTAGCTTGGTGAACATAGTTCTTGTCAAACGCTGTAGCAACGTTAGCTTGGTGAAAATGGTTCTTGTCAAACGTTGTAGCAACGTAAGCTTGGTGAACATAGTTCTTGTCAAACGCTGTAGCAACGTTAGCTTGGTGAACATGGTTCTTGTCAAACGCTGTAGCAATGTTGCCTTGGTGAACATCTGTAACAACGTTAGCTTGGTGAACATAGTTCTTGTCAAACGCTGTAGCAACTTTAGCTTGGTGAACATAGTTTTTGTCAAACGCTGTAGCAATGTTAGCTTGGTGAACATCTGTAGCAACGTTTGTTTGGTGAACATAGTTCTTGTCAAACGCTGTAGCAACGTTAGCTTGGTGAACATGGTTCTTGTCAAACGCTGTAGCAATGTTGCCTTGGTGAACATCTGTAACAACGTTAGCTTGGTGAACATAGTTCTTGTCAAACGCTGTAGCAACTTTAGCTTGGTGAACATAGTTTTTGTCAAACGCTGAAGCAATGTAAGCTTGGTGAACATCTGTAGCAACGTTTGTTTGGTGAACATAGTTCTTGTCAATCGCTGTAGCAACGTTAGCTTGGTGAACATAATTTTTGTCTCAGCTGTAGCAACGTTAGCTTGGTGAACATAGTTTTTGTCTCAGCTGTAGCAACGTTAGCTTGGTGAACATAGTTTTTGTCTCAGCTGTAGCAACGTTAGCTTGGTGAACATAGTTTTTGTCTCAGCTGTAGCAACGTTAGCTTGGTGAACATAAAGGATCCGGCAAAGGATAATCATTTATTGATCCATACTGTGTTATGTTAAATCGGTCTATCTTTAAATGTATGAACACAGATAAACAGAAATTTATTAACATGATTCATTGTGTCTATAATAAATCATTAAAGGGTGACATTGAAGTATAGTCTACACCGACTGAACCCTTACCATTTCAGACAATCATTGCCACAAAGCTAATTGAAAAATTGTCCCCCTGAGAAATTATGATATATAGCTTTTGTCTATCTTGCATATGACATACCGATATTGCATTCACAAAATACTATTTCTTAGAAATATACATAGAATTTCTTAAAACATATAAATAATCCCAGTGTTTTCTTGAGATATATATATATATATTGTTTAAGACAATGAGAAGTATCGCTTTAAGTAAGAATGTCAGACAGTTTTCAGTCATTGAGGTTGTCAATAAGAGAGGCTGTATCGATGAGGTTGTCAATCAATCAATCAATCAATCAATCAATCAATCAATCAATCAATCAATCATTCAGCCATTCAGTCAATCAATCAGTGAGATTGTCATTCAGTGAGGCTGTTAACAAGAGTGTTTGATTGTGTGGTGTTTATAGCATGTTTAAGGACATTTCCATCAACATCATCGATATTCGATGTTTGACACACCTGAACTTGCGGCAGTAAGAAATTATCAAAAGAATACTACTCAACTCGTGACAAGCTATGAAAGGGTTACTGTCGTTGAAAAATAGCATTTAGATTTAATTGTTCAGTTTATATTACAAAATTAAAGTAGCTCAAAATCGGGAAAACTCACTACCAGAAACCCACACATTTAGCTGTATCTAAAGCTCATTTCGGTGATCATATAAGGTTGTTGTACTACAGGATGGAGCATACTAAATTACTCACTTTATGCCAGCTAGGCATTTGCTAATTTCAATATATCTTTCTTTTTACAGGGGTTATTTCACAGTCATCCCAAGTCATCAATGATATAATCAGACACAGTTTCGACTTAGTTCATGTTGTCATTGACAACGGTGCTGTGGTTACAGAAGATAGGGGAGAAACCGATGGACAGTTTTATATTGAGCTTGCATCCAAATATAATATTGAGGTAAGTTTGATAGTAATTTGATATGCTATACATGGTAAGTATGGAAAATCATAATAATAGGTCACTGCATGGATTTTGACTGAATTATAGCGTTTTTCATATTTGCATGCAAGATCGGTCTTAACATTTTCGTAAGTAATTCTGTTGAATATTCACACATTTCTTTAAATCTAGCATGGTTAAAGTTGTGCATGCAAGATCAATCTCCACAACTTCCAAACAAATTCATTTGAACTTCAAACGCATCTTTTGGAATAAAATTAAGCATAAGCATATAACTAAAACCGTAGTATAAATAAAACTGTGGTATAAGTCAATGTCAAAGACTCATAACTATAACATGATTTTTGTTTGTATTATAGCAATTTGTGTTCTTAGAATATTATTAGTTAGAGTTCTGCATGCAAAATTAAGTTCACAAATCAAATTTAGACGTGTCTTCAGGATCATAATTGAAAGATTGCAAGTTTCTAAGATTTATATATTATGTACTTTGAATAAAATCTTCCCCTTAGTGAATTTGTACAATATCCGACGCATTGTTTCACCATTAATTAAGCACTGAGACTAGTCGAGCCCTCTGTTCTACTGGCAGCTCTTGTTTTTTAATGATGTAGTCGCTTTATTCATTTTATTTTATTTTTTGACAGATACTGGCACACATTCTGAAATCACTGAATTGGACATATGTAACGACTTTGTCAGACAGTCACTCACAATCTCAAGTTGAACATGAAATGTTTACCGGTATGGCAGACGATATTAACATATGTATCCAGACCTCACAACTAGCAACGAACCTACCAATGGCCGGTATACTTAATCCTAAAACAAACGGTGTTGTTATCTTTACCAATGACATGAACAATCTGAAAACCATGATGCAAAAATTACCGAAATCCTCGCCCGTTGTCATAGTTACGCATGATAGAAGAACTAGTGAATTAAGTTTTGTCCATGAAGGGATTGTTTTGTCTGATGCCTTTCTCTACAATGTACAATTTACTGAGTACATGACTACAGTTTTGTGGAACCAGACAGCACTTGATGACCTTTCTATTGATTACTATGTTTCCCATCACAATTGCTCTTTCAAGAATCAGTCTGCTCCAGATCTTATATCATGCGAAAATATAAAAGAAATGGAATCATATTTTAGAAGTGTTTCATCAACAAGACTGATGCATGTGTATCAGGAAGCTTTCACATTTATTGCAAATATTGGAAACAAGATGGCGGAACATAACTGTACAAACTTCAACACAAGTTGTGTTCCTTTGATAGACATAGATGCAATGTCCTCCTATTTCAAGGCCGGCTACAATCAGACACTGGTTCCCAGACTCCCTTTTAGTACATCTATTTCCTTGTTAACGGCAGGAACTGTGCAAAAGGTAAACAATTGTTCACTGTATTTACTCATTGTTCGGTAATCTAGGGTAAGGGAATTATCATATGTGTCATAAAATAATTATGATATCATATACCGCGATAAAATTTAATTCAGCGGACACCATTGGACATGCGTTGTTGTTACTATGCTTTTTATTCTGTTTTTTCAGTGTTATTCTGAATTTTGTTATAGTTTTAAGCAGGGCAGCAGCCCCCAATAAGCATGCAAGTGTGCTAAATATTTATCATCTAGGATCCGCTAAACTATATGTGTTCCCATATACCGTATCATAACATGATTGTCATATCATATACCGTATCATAACATGATTATCATATCATATATGGTATCCTAACATAATTATCATATCATATCCTAACATAATTATCATATCATATACCATATCCTAACATAATTATCATATCATATACCGTATCCTAACATAATTATCATATCATATACCGTATCCTAACATAATTATCATATCATATACCGTATCATAACATAATTATCATATCATATACCGTATCCTAACATAATTATCATATCATATACTGTATCCTAACATAATTATCATATCATATACCATATCCTAACATAATTATAATATCATATACCATATCCTAACATAATTATCATATCATATACCGTATCCTAACATGATTTACATGACATCAGTTTACTGTTCTCATTTTATATATGTGATAAAAAGAATATTATATTCGTGTAGGTTCAATACTAAATTTATTGAACTCGTTGAGCCAGAGGCTCGCATAATATGATTTTATTCAACTCGTTCAATAAATTTACTATTAAACTACACTCATTCAATATCCTCTATATCATATCATATACCGTATCATAACATAATTATAATGTCATATACCATATACTAAATAATTATCATATCATATACCGTTTCATAACATATATTATCATATCATATCATATACCGTGTCGTAACATAATCATTGTATTAAATACCGGATCATCACATAATTATCATATCATACCGTATCATACATAATTATCATATCATACCGTATCATACAAAATTATCATATCATACCGTATTATAACATAATTATCATATCATAATTATTATAACGTATCTTAACATTATTATCATATCATATTGGAAAAAAGTATAATGTAGACATTCAACATTTTTTTTCTTTTGCTTATGGTAATATCTCTACTTTATCACTAAGTCAGCAATATTGTCTGTGATTCATAGATTCTGATATAAAATTTCTGTGTTTTTATACCCCCAAAAACGAAGTTGGGGGGGGGGGGGCTGGGTATATAAGAGTCACCCGGTGGTCGGTCGGTCGGTCGGTACAGAGGTCCGTTGCATTTTCCTTGTTCGGAGCATAACTTGAAGACTAATGGTTGGAATTCAATATAACTACATACAATGGTCAAGCACCTTGAGAGGACGTGCAGTGCACAAGAACCATAACTCTATCTTGACTAATTACAGAGTTATTGCCCTTTGTTGCTTTTCCATTGCTTTTTTTTGTCCGGACCATAACTTGAAGACTAATAGTTGGAATTCAATATAACTACATACAATGGTCAAGCACATTGAGAGGAAGTGCAGAGCATAAGAACCATAACTCTATCTTGACTAATTACAGAGTTATTGCCCTTTGTTACTTTTCCTTGTCCGGGGCATAACTTGAAAACAACTGGCTGGAATGCAAAACAACTTCATACAATTGTCAAACGCAATAAGGGGAAGTGCAGTGCACAAGAACCATAACTCTATCTAAAGTAATTACAGAGTTATTGCCCTTTGTTACTTTTCCATTGCCTTTTTTGTCCGGACCATAACTTGAAGACTATGGTTGGAATTCGATATAACTTCTTACAATGGTCAAGCACATTGAGAGAAAGTGCAGTGCATAAGAACCATAACTCCATCTTGACTAATTACAGAGTTATTGCCCTTTGTTACTTTTCCTTGTCCAGAGCATAACTTGAAAACTACTGTTTGGAATTCAATACAACTTCATACAGTTGTCAAGGACATTAAAAGGAAGTGTAGTGCACAAGAGCCATAACTCCCTTTTGCAAAATACAGAGTTACTGCCCTTTGATACTTTTCGTTGTCAGGAGCATAACTTAAAACGTACTGGTTGGAATTCAAAACAACTTCATACAATGGTCAAGCACAATAAGAGGAAGTTCAGTGCACAAGAACTATAACTCTATCTTCAGTATTTATAGAGTTATTGCCCTTTGTTCCTTTTCTTTGTCTTTCTGGACTTATTACAGAGTAATTCAATTAAACTTCATCAATGGCTAACCACATTGAAAGGAAATGCAACATATAAGAACCACAACTATCTTTAATTGCCCACAACCATGACTCTATATTTCAATTCTTTTACAAGGTATTCTGTTACTAGTAACATCCTCATTTCCAAAGCAGCCTTGTGGGGGTATTAATCACATTTAGTGATAGTTCTAGTTTTTTTTCCAGAGTGACGTTTATTCAACAACAGATTTTACTGACTTCACATCATTTGTAAGCAACTTCACAGACAATGCTTCATTTCCTTCAAGTACCTGTACAGAATGGTGCCCATCTTGCCAACAATCAACATGTAGCACGCATTCTAATACAATGAATTTTAAAGGAGATTATTTTTATGTTCCTGGAGATATTATAATAACAGGAATGTTACCATTTTCACAGCAGTGGAATAAAGTGCCGTCAACAGGAAATGTGTGTTCGGGAATGAGACTTGATAGTAATTTAGATACTCTGTCGGAAGCATTCCTGTACGCTGTAATGTCTGTACATGACCGATTTTCGGACCTGTTACAAAATGTAGAAATAGGTGCGCTTTTGCTTGATACCTGCAGTGATAGCGATAGAGCATCCCAGATTTTGTTAAATTTTGAATCCTGCATGTACAATTTTAAAACCGAAGGTAACAACTGGAAACCGTCTCCTGCTATAGTTCCAGCTTATATTGTAGTTGGAAATAATGAGAAATTCATTGGTGAATCGAAAGCAGTTGGAAAATTGGCTTTAGGAATACAGTATCAAGGAGACTTGTATAGAAATGAAAGAAAGATTTTTGATAGTTCTTCTTTTAACTTCGAAATTCTTGCAAACTTTCTGCATACCATGAATTTATCTTATGTTGGTTTAGTGACGTCTTTTGCGCCTGATGACGTTAATATAATCAATTTGTATGAAACGGCAAAATCTAAAAACATATGTATAGCTTATAATGCGGATATTTTACCCGAGAACACTGATCTACTCAATGCTGTCAGGAAATCTACCGCTGAAGTTGTCATCATATATGCCAGATCTGCAGACGTTGCAAATTTCTTCAGGATGCTTACCACTAAAAGTATTATCAAAACATGGATCCTGATTGAGACTCGTGAAAACTGGCTCGATACCTCAGCGTTTCCACTACCCCTTGGTTCAGTTATATTTAGGCCATATGGACAACAAAATTCATACTTTAACGAGCATATGAATAATCTTTTAAATAACCAACAGAACAATATCACTACAAATAACCCCTGGATTGATAGTTACAGACAAGCAAGGTCTGACGATAATATACAAATAAAGCCTTTCACTACAGATATAACAACACGTATGCAAGCGTCTGATGTGATTAGATCAGTGGACATTTCTCTGGAGGCTATTGCTCAAGCATTGAAGTCGGTTTGTGGTAATGAAACGAGGGGATTGTGTCCAAAATTTGTATCTAAAGGTGGAGAAGAAGTTCTGCGAGCGCTTGATCAACTTTGGTTCATAAATAAATCCAGTGAGCTGTTGTACCCATCAAACCCTAAACACCAACATTACGTGATCAAAAATCTGCAGCAGGAAGGGCTAGTTGAGGTAAAACAAATAAATCTTTACTAAATTGTCAAAAGAAATAATATATTCTTTGTTAATAATGAAACTCGGCATCAATGTACAATGTATATTATATTATATAAGGAAATGATGCTCATTATATACTGTCAAAATCATATTGTGCAAGAAGTAAAATCCAGCCTATTGAATGTCAAAATGACATTACCTAATGCCAAAGTAATATTTTTAATCTCAATATATCTTAAAAGAGTTACGTCACCTTTACTTTAAAAGCTATTTTGCTTGTCACTACTTGTTGTTTGTCCTTTATCTTATAAACGTAAATATAAGTAAATTTTATACATGTATAAGGTCATTTTCTTTCACATTCTGAGGTATTTAATACTTAGAAACTTCAGTCAAGATAGATGTATCATAATGTAGGGGATATTGATTAAACGAATGAACTTGTGTCATCCTTCATTCGCTGATATTTCAAGTAATTTACGTGGAAAAAGCAAATAAGTACATGTACTAGTATAGAAACATGTGTTGGCAACTTCTCGCCACTTGTCGCCGATATTTGACTGAAATAAAATGTTAAAAGTGTCACTTAACAAACAAAAACATTTACAGTACAACTACATGTGACAAAATTATTAAAGAAGTCTCAGTATCAAAGAGAAATGTCACTAAACAAAAATCGTGTAGAAAGAGCATTGATGCGCAATAGTTTAATTATCATGTACCTCATATATTTTACATCTTTTCATTATCATACCCATCTAAAAAGTGTGCATGAGTGGCAGTCGGTCGGCCGGTTTAGTTGGTCGATCTAATGAATAAAGATGAAACATTTCTTTTCGACACCTTCTGTAAATTTGGCGCGTGCGCAGCAGCGTGACTTAGAGAATAAATGCGTTTTGTTGTAATTGCAGGTTGGAAATTGGAGTGAGCGGGGATTAACACTGGAATCAACAAAGCTTCGGTCATATGACAGCAAGTTTAATCAGCTACCAGAATTCAGAAAGTCTTATTGCTTCGTAACACCTTGTTCCTGCTTTAATATTAACACGACGGCAAACGAGTCCGAAACGGCCAAAATAACAAGGCTCGATTATGAGATGGGTTTTAAGAACTCGTCTGCTAAATTCCAAAAGGATTTGTGGGTACTGATAGTAGTGATTATTTCGGGAACCGGAAGTCTGTTGACACTACTACTAATGATCTATATTATGTGTAAAGTTTGCTCAGGTGCACTTGTTCGGAGGTACCTAGCCCTCGGAATTCTTTTGCTCATTGCAATGATATTGTTATTTTTATCAGTACTGCCGTTTTTGTTTTCACCAAGTGAAAGCGTTTGCGGAATGAGATATTTTGCTCACGGATTTTCATACGCATTTTGCTTTGGAATTATATTGACAAAGATGATGACTCTTCGTAATTACAAATATATCGGCCTTGGTGGAGAAATATCTCGAATAAATCAGATGTTGACGGTGTTCTTCATTACATCAGTGCAAGTTGCTGTAGGGGTACAGTGGTGGGTTCTAAGGACACCAGTTGTTTTCACTGAACGTGTTCTTGAGGCGGGCGAAAACGATGCTTTACGAGAAACAACTTACTACGCATGTGATTTTGTCAGAAAGGATTTCGTTGCGTATCATTCATATGTGATTGTTCTACTGGTTCTTTGTTGCTTTTATTCTCTAAGTGTTAGAAAAGAAACAAAGAACATGAAAGAAGCAAGGTTATTGCTTATTTGTACTTGGTTTTGTTTAGTGCTGTGGATTGGAATCATTGTGACAATTATGGTGTTAGATAGGAAGTATTTGGAAGCTATCTGTGCTATAGGTATCCTCGGTAACGCACTCTCAATGGTTGTATTTATTTACTTACCAAAGCTTACAGCCATCTCGCGTCTGAAGTATGAAGTTTCAGAACAAAATGCACACAAAGAGAATGGATACAAAGTTGATTCCGATTTTCATTTTGAAAGACCCTATTCTCTGCCAGGTACACTGCACAGTTCGATCACTGATAAAGCTCTCACATACCCACGTAGCCTTGCCACGTTTGACACCAGTCTTAGCTATTGAGAGTTCCAATCACAATCTTGTTATACATTTGTCAAATCTTCCGAAAGCAGTGATATTATTTGAACACCTTTGCAAATCTATATTCAAGATATCTCATATGAAAACAGTACTCTTGGATATGTCTCTATGCAAGTTTTCTTCTAATCTTTAACTTGCTGAAATTTTGTAATGGATTTGTCCTGCTTTGAATTTGGAACAGTCCATTCTAAATTAAAGGGAATTCAAGACTTAATTAAGCTACCTAGAGTATAGAGTCTGGTCAGACTGCATGGTGTGCTTACAGGCCTAACTCTATACTGGTGAAAAAGGCAAATCACTTTTGGTTCCAGCAGATAAGGGTCATTGTAAAGGTCACATCAGCTGTATACATTTGTATTTACTTGTAGCTTAACACAAATTTGAATGAATTCCTTCAGTAACAAAAAAAGTATGATTCAGATTATATAAATGGAAACTTTAAGAAACAAAAACTTGAGCCCTTTTTGATTGTGAACACAGTTGATTTGAACATTACTTTGGTGATATATACCATATTAAAGCAACTGGGATGTTCGATTTATATCATCATATGCCTTTGTTTTGGAGTCTTTGTAAATGCTACATCATTCCATAATTTTATTGTTGATTTTGTTGTTGTTTTTACTAACATTGATATTATAATAGTTTAGTAATCAAGTTTTAGATTAATCACTGAAATCCACTGCTATTGTTTCAAAAAAAAATCTATTCCAGATATAATGTATTCATTTTATAACAATTATTATTGTTAAATATATATATACTTTCACATTATTAAAAATGATAGAGAACTTTACATGTTCACTGTGTTGTTGTTGTTAGCCTGTTGATAGTTTATGTTGTTATCTCTAATGTAACACTGTCCGATCGTACGTGTTACTATTGTGTCATGTTAATTTGATATATTTAGGGGCGTCCGTGGCTGAGTGGGTAAGGTCGTTGACTTCAAACCACTTGCCCCTCACCGCTGTGGGTTCGAATCCCGACAGGGACTTTGGATTCTTTCATGCGAGGAAGCTATCCAGCTAGCTTACGGAACGTCGGTGGTTCTACTTCAAGGTGCCCGTTCGTGCCTGAAATAATACACGGAAGGGCGACTGAAGTCTTCCTCCAACAGAAAAGCTGGAACGTCGCCATATGACATATACTGTGTCGGTGCGTCAAACAAACTATCGAGTTTCAGAGGAATAAAATCAAGAGAACCCCTAACGACTTATTCTAGAAAATTTCATGAAAAACATGGTGAAACGTAAAATTTAGGCAATTATACATGGATACGAGGGTGAGTCATATATATATATGTACTGAAATATGAAGTATATTTTCTGATTTAGCTCGTGATTCTTGTGTTTATGTAAGCTATGCTATGCTTTAAAGCATCTGCTTTCAAATGATGCCAAAATCATGTGTGAAGTCAGCTGATTAAGAATTTTATTCGCATTTAAAAATACCTTACACCAGTAATTTCATTTACAATATTTAAATAAGTGTTGACGGCAAGTCTCCATAGTAACTGAAAAACATAAAGTCAAGTTTATCATTGACAACGATGACAGACTTTCACTAACCCAGATAGCACATATCACAGGGATATCAAAAGGGTCAACTCATACAATTCTGGTGAAAGTTAAATAAATATCCCATTTGCTTACATCAGACCAGAAAAAGGATCGAGTTAAATGCACTTGAAAATGATTGAAAATAAATAAATTTCTAAATATGACAGTCGCCGTTTATCTAATATTGTCACTGGTGATGAAAGCTGGTGAACTATTGCACGCCAGTTCGCAATTGTAACAATAATAAGATTTGGGCCACCAAAAATGTTCGTCCACCATGCATTGTCAGGCGATTGACAAGCCCAAGTGTCAAGAAAGTTATGTACGTTATTTTTTCAAAACTTTTGGAACTGTTGTTTAAATTCCTGTTACAAGAGGCCGTTCTTTAACATCCAAGTAATATAGAAATGTCGTGTTAAGAAATGTTGAAAAAACACTCCTTCGACTGGTATGAAAAGTCTATATTTTCTACATTACAACGCTCCTGCTCACATAGGTGCTACTCTAATTGATGATTGTCCTTAAACATCCATCGTATTCTCTAGATGTTGGCACCCTGTAACCTGTTCCTCTTTCCTCAGACTGAAAGAACAACAACTTACAGGTCATCGCTACAAGAGTAGCAATAGACAACTTTTATTAAACTTTTGTATTTCTGTAGGGAGAGATTATTTTGAAGGGTTGAAATAGAAAATTGTAAAATATTTCCTCTTTTAAATGTATTTGCCACATGGCTTTACATATTGACCTACCCTCGTAAAAATGTAAGGTTGGAAGAAAAAATGTATTCATATGCTTTTCAAAAATCTTGTATCTCTAAGAAACCGTACCCTGTATCTACTTCTTAGTACGTTGAAAAAAAGAATTGGGATTCAGGACAGACCAACATAATGTGTTTATAAATGTGCATAATATCCATTCAACTACTTGTAGTGCTGCAAATCAGCTTATTTTACTCGCCAAATTAAAGGGGTAACTGGTCTATGTTAATAGCCAACACCAAAATGTTCGTCTGGATCTTTAGTTTCTGGAACAGATATATTCATTTCGCTCAACCCCGATGCGAAGTTGAGATATCCAAGATGGCGTCAAAGACGGCCACCAAATCCCTAAATATACAAATGCTCATACCGGGTTATTTCTGTTCTCTGTTTTGTATATTGGTTGAAATTTTACATTCAATTTAAAATTACTCCACATTTAGTGATAATTTCTTTAGGTAACAATCTTCTATCTTGTTCTAATAGCTGGGAAAAGTGATCACACAGAAGCATTAAAATCAGCAAAACTACATGAAAAATGCAATCTCGGTTTGATTGAGTCTGCACATTGGGGATAAAGAAAAGGTGCAACATCTGTCACGCCCCCTAGCATCGGCTTAAGCGGTACTCAATTTTCAACACTTAAAAGTGCTAGAATCAATGATTCCAAAGGACCAGAAAAATATAGCAACACTGGAGCGAAACCAGTTTTTAAACCTTAAAAATTCACGTCAACCATTTCTAAAGATTGAAATCAAAGTTTGTTCATTTCTGAGGCATAATTTATGTGCCTCTAAGATTGATTAATGGAAAATACTAGCATTTTTACATATCACCCTATACTTTTGTGCTAAAATACATTTTTTCCATATAAAAAACCCATTTTTGTTTCCTTGCGGTGGCTGAACTGTGCTCTGGTAAATTCAATGTGGCTTTCTGTCGTGATTCGGAGTGAAAACTATCAATACCACCACCACTGACTTTTTTAACTTCTCACTTCCCCTCGTTGCATGCACGTTGCTGAGAAGGCACAGTGCATCCACTGAAGATTTGAAGAACTTGGGATGGCTAAAAATAAACATGTCAAGAACTTGAACTGCGGAAGATGCTGTCGGTGTCCTTACTACAGGCCCGTCGTCACGATTTTGTGATTCGTGCGGCCAATTTGATGGTTCTAGGGTGAAGGGGGCATGCTCCCCGGGATTTTTTTTATTATAGGATGCTCTCTGGAGCGTTTCTCCTAGTATATGGCACAGTTTAAAGTCTGCCACTAGTACATATTATTTTGGCATATGTCACTGATTTTTAGCTCGACTATTCGAAGAATATGAGAGCTATTGTAGTCGCCCCGGCGTCGGCGTCGGCGTCGGCGTCGGCGTCAGCGTCCGCGTCGGCGTCTGCGTTGGTTAAAGTTTTTTGTAAAGTCAAATATCTCAATTATTACTTGTGATATTCAATTGAAACTTACAATAGTTATTTATAGTAACAAGGTACATCAGATTGACAAGTTGGATAACTCTGCCTACAATATTGACAGAATTATGCCCCTTTTTAACTTAGAAATTTTGGTTAAAGTTTTTTGTAAAGTCAAATATCTCAATTATTGCTTGAGATATTCAATTGAAACTTACAATACTTATTTATAGTAACAAGGTACATCAGATTGACAAGTTGGATAACTCTGCCTACAATATTGACAGAATTATGCCCCTTTTTAACTTAAAAATTTTGGTTTAAGTTTTTTGTAAAGTCAAATATCTCAATTATTGCTTGAGATATTCAATTGAAACTTACAATACTTATTTATAGTAACAAGGTACATCAGATTGACAAGTTGGATAACTCTGCCTACAATATTGACAGAATTATGCCCCTTTGGAACTTAGAAATTTTGGTTAAAGGTCTTCAAAGATATTTACTTTACACATGCACGTAGGGTCATAATTGGAGGGTCATAATTGTATGTCACTGACCAAGTTCCATAACTCTATCTTGCATTAAGGCTGATTCATATCCCCTTTTCTACTTAGTCTCTTGGTTAATGTTTACATGCAAGTTTACATATCTCAATAACTATTAAAGATATTTATTTAAAACTTCACATATGCATTTAGAGTCATAATTGTAGTTCACTGACAAAGATCCATAATTCTATCTTGCATTTAGGCTGATTTTTCTCCCCTGTTTTAACTTAGAAATTCATGGTAAAGTTTTGCTTGTAAGCTGTTATCTCAATAACTACTGAAGGGTTTGTGCCTTTTTTGGGACAATTTAAGCATTAATAATAATAAAGCTGTGATTTACTTAATAAAACATCTTAATAACAAGCCTTTGTACCTTTTCTGTCAAATTTATGTATTCATAGGTAATTAGTATTATTATACTCAATAAAACACCCTTGTGACATTACCTTCCGAATAGTCAAGCCAATACTGTATAATTAGACTCTCTCCAAGGCCTATAACTTGAATTTATAAAAAAAAATTAGCCCTTTTGTGAACTTAAAAAACTTAACATTATCAAGGCTCTTTTACTATCAAGCACTTAGAATAGTCGAGCGTGCTGTCCGTCCGACAGCTCTTATTACATAGATCTGATGTGTGCCGTAAGTGTAAAGAGTAAAAGGTTGACTACCGATCGCATAACAGACGGTACATAAAATATGAATAATTGATATTTGACACATTAATTGATGTTGTTATAATAATAATAATAATAATAATAATAATAATAATAACTTTATTTTGAGAAGGTGACATATTAAGAGTACATAATAAACATACAACTTATTTCCAATATGGCCTTCTATACATATATAAACAGAAAACAGAAATAATTCTTCATTTTTATCTGATAATTACAAATAAATTAATACAAGAAATACGAGCGTATTACAGTACGCAGATTGTGTTCACAACGGTTTTAGCTTAATTATCAATTGATCAGAGTCTGTTTTGGAAACGAAAATAATGGCATGACTTGTGACGAGTCCGTGGTCCGTAGGCTACTTTTCGTGCCTTACCGGCGGATGACCGTCATCAAACATAGAGTACATATATACATGCATACATGACAAGTTTTATTTTTCTGCGGTTAACTTGCCGATAGACAAAAGTAAAATGATATTGAAAAATCATATTCAGATGTCCGTTCATTGGTTCATTTATTTTGTGGTTTCATATCCGGACGACAGGGAAACTCGTACAAATTAGATAGCCTCGTGTTTCGATGCTCTGTCTATTGAAAACTAAGTCCCTTTAATATAACTATATGGATATGAAAATCCAGATTTCCAATGGATCGTCACCAGATCCTAGGTTAAGGATCTGGATTTTCATCCGACTTAAATATGTGTAACCACTACAATTATCTGTGCACCACGTTAGTTGATCAATGGGTAAACCTTAAAGTCACATTACGCCCATCCCAGAACATAATTGAGTCGCGTCATGACAAAACCAACATAGTGCGTTTGCGACCAGCATGAATCCAGACCAGCCTGCGCATCTGCGTAGTCTGATCAGGATCCATGCTGTTCGCTATCAGTTTCTCAACTTGTAATAGGATTGGTCAGAGGACAGCATGGATCCTGATCAGACTGCGCGGATGCAGACTGTGTTGGTTTTGTCATGACGCGGCTCATATAGTGATTGAACAGGTGATTATCATTTGCCACATGATTCCTTTCAATTTTATCATTTTCTTCGCATAAACAATAAATAAACCATGTGATCAAAGGAAATGCTTGCAAGTATCCATTGGGATATAACTGTAAAGTTCTTTTTATTACATTTTAGGCAGTTCTATATTTTATCCTTAATTACCATTTTCCAAAACCAAATGTTGGTCGATCACCATTGTAACCATCAGTCTTTATACATATATATATTCAAATTAGCTCAACTTGACAAAAATAACACAATTTCAGTATCAAATGTATTATATAATATTACACTCACATATCTCACTTTAAAGCTTCTTTTCCATGAGACATATAATTGAATATAAAAATCTTATTAGTAATAAAATGCAATTCTGAGATATAACAAAATGAATTAAAAATCGTTTTCTATTGTTACATGTATCTGACTTTATATATTTCACCTACATGTACTTCATTACTTATTTTTAGTTAACCATTCGTATTAAACTACGTGATATTATGTTAAAATATCACTAAAATTCATTTTAATGGAATTTATTTTAATGATCCTAAAGTGCAGTCGTTTGTCTGATGTTAAAGATTGCATATGTACAGGTGTAACGCACTTTGGGGTCGGTCGGACCCCAAAGTGCGTTGTTACAAACATGAAAACAGGCATGTCCTGTATCTGGCTGAACTGCCCCGTAAATATACTTAACTATGGAACTCTTCGATGAAAACGCAATAATTTTGGAGTATATTGCATTGATTGTAAGATAAAAGGTACAACTAGCTAGTATTTGGCCTTAAATAAATCGACGTTTAAACAACAACACGTACAGTTTTTCAAAATATTATTATTTAGTTATCGACGCGTTTTGGGTTGTTTGTTCTTCAATAAATAAATAAATTCTGAAAGTTTTGTAACATTTTCTTAGATTATTTAGTTATTTGCAAATAAAATAATTTACTTTATCTAGATGCGTTATATCTGTTTACACAAACATACTGTACAATGTTTTGCAGTTCATTTCTAAAATATAAGTAATAAGAATTATGTGTCCATTAAACGACCAAAGCTCAAAATAAATATAAAACAGTGATTTTCCCAATTGAAGTGATATTTCTATGAGAAAAATGACATCAACTTGCTTTGATTCGGACTACTGTTATTGTTAATTCTAACTTTAAAAAAATATATGCTTATCTAGGAATTTTGTTGAACTTTTAAGACCATATATACGCTGTATTAGTTAATTTTAACCATTTTCAGTTTAAACATTGTAAATATGGTCCAATTTGCCATAAGATTATCTGCTCCACTTAATAAACAAATATAAGCTAACCTTAGGAGTCCTTATCAAATTGTCAATATTATATGAGATGACGTAAATTATTTCACAGCTGAAATATAAATTAAAGTATTCGTCAGTAACAACACATTTTCTTACTTGTCTATTGTATAGATATGTAGTGTTTGTAAGATTATTCATTTTGAAAAAAAATTTCAGCTTATCCGGTATGAAATGCATTTCCACCCGTTTTAAACACAGATGTAGTTTGTGTAAGTTCAATAATCCCATTCCAAGATGTTCATACACTATTATAGTTACATGATAAAAAGGTAATTCTTAGAGACCAAATAAAAAAAGCCAAAAAATGCAAGAAAGGAGCGCAAGGCACTTCCTATCTGTTATTTTCCAAGACAAAATTAATGTATACTTTTAACATTACATGCATTGCCTCCCTTGGGTCATTTTCAACATGACTGTATATGCTGATGATAACATAAAAATTCTATTTATGTTTATGTAAACTGATAAAATCCTTCTAAAAATAGATAAAATATTTTTTCTTCACCAATTTGATTATTCAGCTAAAATAACTTTGCTAGCCCTTTACCACCCTTAATTTATTAAATTGATTTGCCCATCTTCAATCTGGACACAAAGCTTGGGAGAAATTCAAAACATGTACTGACTTGAACTACGATCGGACAGCACGGTTGTGTCAGATAATAATACATTTTGGACTGCACTGGTCACATGGATACATTCAGTCCCTGCCAGAAGGCTTAAAGTAATGAACTAAAGCCATGTATTTTATATCATTAGCTAAAGATTAAATCCACTTCCATATCTAGTCATTTTACATAGCAAAATGAACAAAAAAGCTGTCTCCTTCATCAAAGATGCTAAACAGTATTCATTTATAGAAGGTAGATAATTCAGGAAGCAAATTTGACAGCGTTATGGTTCTAGCTTACTCCAAGTCCTTTCGATGTATACTATTATAGTGAACACTTCGCCATTATGCCAAACGATGAGTGTGTTTATAAGCTAATAGCTTCCTACACAATCGAACTAAAATAAATTCTGTATACACCAAATGATGAAATTCGTTAAAAGGACATAGCTCTGCAAAATTTCAATAAACCAGAACATGTTGCTATAAGCATATCTCCTCTTGTATTGGTAGTGAAGGTTGATATAAAGTGTTGATAAATTCTCCAGTCAGTGCTTGCTGAGAAATTGTCTCAACAACATTTTGGACATCAAGATATGAAGCAAAATAAATAAGCAGAAATATACTTTTATTAGAGTCACTTTGTGTAGAATATAGCTTGTAAAATCAACAGATTAGCACTTATGTGGCTTGTTAAGTTTTATACATGTATTGTGTAGGCTGTAAAGTTTCTAGGAACTTATTAGACCATATTTTATAACAGGAATAGAAGATATTGAATGAGTGTAGATTTCAAACTATATTTATTGAAGGAGTTGCATAAAATAATATTATGCGAGCCTTTAGCGAGCATACTATTGTCTTACTCAATGGGTTCAATAAATTTAGTATTGAATCTACACGAAAACAATATTCTTTTTATCACATATTAAACAAGAGTTGGTTGAACCGGGTGATGCTCCCCGAATAGGTTTTGGACACATGGAAGGTATACCTCTTGTAGTGTCAGAGTTATGTCAAAGTCAAAGTTCAAAGTGTAAAAACAACCCAAATGTTGCGTGCGATACATTGTCTCAATATGGTGATCATTTCTGTGAAATAGTTGTAAAATCCGACTTCAAATAACAAAGTTATGGCCCAGACACGATTTTCTGTAAGGTCATGCTGTGACCTTGACCTTCAAGGTAGCGACCCAAATGTTGCGCATGACATGTCGTCTCAATATGGTGATCATTTCTATAAAATAGTTTTAAAACCCAACTTCAAATAATGAAGTTATGGACCGGACATGATTTTGCTGCAAGGTCATGCCGTGACCTTGACCTTCAAGGTAGCAACCCAAATGTTGTGCCCACCAGTTGTCTCAATATGGTGATCATTTCTGTAAAACAGTTTTAAAATCCAACTTCAATAACAAAGTTATGGACCGGACACGATTTTGCTGCAAGGTTATGCTGTGACCTTGACCTTCAAGGTAGCGACCCAAATGTTGCGCATGACACGTCGTCTCAATATGGTGATCATTTCTGTAAAATAGTTTTAAAATCTGACTTCAAATAATGAAGTTATGGACCAGAAACGATTTTGCTTCAAGGTCATGTTGTGACCTTGACCTTCAAGATAGTGACCCAAATGTTGCGCGCGACACATTGTCTCAATATGGTGATCATTTCTGTGAAATAGTTTTAAAATCCAACTTCAAATAACAAAGTTATGGACCGGACACGATTTTACTGCAAGGTCATGCTGTGACCTTGACCTTCAAGGTAGCGACCCAAATGTTGCCCGTGTCATGTCGTCTCAATATGGTGATCATTTCTGTGAAATATTTTTAAAATCCAACTTTAAATATTGAAGTTATGGACCGGACACGATTTTGCTGCAAGGTCATGCTGTGACCTTGACCTTCAAGGTAGCGACCCAGATGTTGGGCGTGACATGTTGTCTCAATATGGTGATCATTTCTGTGAAATAGTTTTAAAATCCGACTTCAAATAACGAAGTTATGGACCGGACACGAATTTGGGACGTACGTACGGACGGACGGACTGACGGACAACCCGACGACTATATGCTCCCCCGAAATTTTTCAGTGGGAACATAATAAGAACAGTTTACAGTTAAAAAGTTATTTTGTTGACAATGCCAACATTAGCACACTTTAAAGCTATATTTGTTATATATCGCAAATGACATCAAGTTGAAGTGATATTACACTAGTGTAATATCGCTTTTATTCAATAGATTGATAACACTCCTGCTCCATGGTTTATGTGATAAATGTGTAGTTTAATCAGATCCCAGTTTATATTTAAATACACCTCTATACTTGTCAATGAAGCATATATAACATACATACGATGATCATAAAACTAATAGAGCTCTCAATGTATGGCACTATAAATATATTAAATGTACCCCAAATATTTAACAATGAACAAAAAGACACCTGCACCTTAAATGATAAAGTCAAACAAATCCACAGTTTGTAATTTGAACGTTATTTTAAACCAAGACAGTATGTTGACACACACTTCACTGCAATGTTGATCCAACTTGTCCATTTCATACATCAAGTTATCATTGGTGTTGCCCATCTATATACTCGCCAACAAGCAAATGTCAATATACTTATCAAACTGAGTCTAACTCCAAAACGAAATATTTTTGACATAAACCCTTCTTCTGGCATTCTGAAAAATAAAGAAAACTTTATATAATTAACTTATGTTCCTATTTTACATGCAAAACATGGACCAAAAGGGTGCTGCTATATGCCAAATATCTAAACTCAGAGTAGTTTCAAAGAAAAAGATTTTTTTCAAAATTCCATTTCCTTTAAAAGTCAATGTAACAAAAGCGACCAATGGGTAGTGCCAAATTAACCCTAAAGGCATGATTTATATACCTATCTGTATATTTCCACATGGTGATGCTACATATTAAATATCTAAACTCTCAGACAAATTATTTCAGAGAGTAAAATTTTAATTATGTTTTCCAATAAAACTTGACAACAGCTTGATTATTTCTCTACACATTCAAAAACATAAATTGCTTTATACTTACGTCATAATATCTTTAATATCATACTGTAGTTCCTCCCAATTGTCCTTGATACCAGGAACATGGCCCATCCCAACAACACCTACAACTACACTCGGTAAGTAAGCTGAAAAAAAATGTTCAAAAACAATATAACAACTCATAAAGCACATAATGGACAGTCCAACCATCTGGGGAAGTGAACAAGAGGAATATGAAGGCATTTATATTACCCATTTGACTGAAAATTACAACTACTTTTTAAATAAGGCAAATGCCTGCATAAATTTCAAGCCAAAAAAAAACAACTTATTTTTTCTAGCTTTTCTGACCTTCATCCGAGCTTTCTACAATGTCATTTAAAGGTAGACATTCATGCAAAGTACTTAAACAAAACCTCAAAACATAATCAGTCAATAACGGATCTTTGCAAAAATAACCAACAAGCCTACTTTTAGGATGTTGAAGAAAATTATATCATACAGATGGGGACAGGTTGTTTTTTAAATGTTTATAAGTGCAACAAGCAGATACAGACTCACCAATGATTGACAACAACTTGTGTAACAAACTATGAAACAGATAGACCAGTCATGAACAGTAATTTGTGTGATAAACACAGTGACTCGAAAAATCAAATCTATGAAATTTTAACGTACTAAGTATTCTTTAAATTGACTTTGAAATAAATCAGCTCTGTGCTCAACAAATAAACTATTTCACAAACATAATCTGATTACTATATTTAAAAGAATGACAATAAGTTTTAAACTCACTATATTGTATGAATGAATGGGTGGATGTGATTTCAAGTATATGTTAGTGTCCATCTCTGCTGTTCTACAGAAATTAGAAACTTCGACGGTAGTGAAAGCAACCAGAGAATGTTTCTAATTTGTGTAGAACAGCTACAAATGAATACTAACATATACTTAGTGGCAAGCTTTATTTGACTTCATTAATATTCACTTTTTTAACGTCACTACCAATCAGCTGGATTCAACAATTACCTGAATGTGTGGTTTAAAATTGATCCTATAAATATGCATGATTTACATCACTGCATGCTAAGACATCTACCCTTGTGTTTCAGTTGATGGCAATGCGGCTCATTTGCTTGATATTGAAATAGTATTTTCGGTAACATTTTTGTCTTGTCCAGACAGTGGAACCACCATCAATAACACAGTTATTAACAATCAATAGAATATCTATATATTTATTATTAAGGTTGTAGAAACCGAAAGTACACAATGTCTACCTGTTGACATTCATTTGGATTTGTTTATCATTGTACATCAGTGGGCATTTTATTTTATGATTGTAATACATATTTTCAATCCTAATTTTACTGAATTAGACTTTATTTTCCTTTGGATCTCATAATTATACATTATCAAAGATTACACCCTCTGTTTTTGTTTAAATCTAAAATCTGAACTGCAAGTATATCCTTTATCCATGAATATAAAATTAATGTAGGTTGATCTTTTGATGTCATTTTAACTTAATATTCAAAAGCGGCCCACAAAAGCCCATGAGCAAATACGCAAATGACGATTTTTACAATAGCGTGTCTTTGAAAATTAACACACAGAATTTGTTTAAGAGATACAGTGTTTTCATTGGATGACAAATTAAGCTGGACCTTAATACATAAAATTGCATTATAAAACATACCTCCTGCTACAATTGGGTGTGGTAATGGCTGGGCTGCATGCTTCAATGAATGTGCTAGAAATGTGTCCCTCTCTTTCACAAACACTTCACTAAGACCAGGAAACTCTCCAGTCATTTCCTTTAACATCTCCTCCAATAAATCTTTCTGTTTACACTTTTCTACATCTTCTTTACTGTGATCAATAAACAACATGGAAAATTAAAGTTGACATGTTTGAAATAATTTGATGAATTTACAAGACAGATTATGTAAAGAAAAAATTATCTTATGCTTAACTTGCAGAATCTTTGTAACATACTTGCTCTGCTCTAAATTTTGTAGGCATTTCAATATCAAAATATAGAAAGTGAGCTTGTAGGCATTTCAATATCAAACTACAGAAAGTGAGCTTGTAGGCATTTCAATATCAAACTACAGAAAGTGAGCTTGTAGGCATTTCAATATCAAACTACAGAAAGTGAGCTATCAATGATATAGAGCCTGGGCAGACTGCATAGATGTGACTTTAGCTAATCACTTTAGGTTCAAACAAGTTAAGTGTTCAACAATGTTGAATCAATTTCAAAGTGAAATACTAACATTTAAGCAAACATGTATATTGCCATCTAAATTACTTAAAATCCAGATTTTTGCAAAGATTGATATGAGATTAAAAACAAACTAATGGACAGCACATTTCTTAATTATGATAAAGTTTTCAAGGGCATTCTTGTAAGGTAATAAATGTTTTGACATGTATATAATTTGTTAGATATTAGAGGGTAATGATGACTTTGCATCACTCACCACAATAAATGTTATATTTCAACATTAAAACTGATTGAGTACAGTCAATCATAAGACAGCATGCTCAACTATTTTCAGTGCTTGACAGTAAGAAAAGGGACATAACTCTGTAAAAAGGTAACATCATAGTTAAGGGACCTGTGCCCATCTAGTTAAATAACAACAGAGAACAAATGTTAACAGTTTCAACCCATTCCCTTCAGTAGTTTTGGAGATTTCAACTTGCACACAAAATTTAACCAAAGTGTGACACCGACACCAACGGTGGGTGAGATGAATAGCTGTTCCTATTCTTCAAATAGTCTCGTTAAAAATTTCAGATAATCCATGCACTGGTTCATGAAAAGAGGAGGTTAAAAGGTTACCAATATTCTAGCAATGTTTTATATACCCTGTGTGTATTAAAGTTTATAATCACAGTTAAAAAGATCCAACAATGCAGAGAAGACATCAAGACATTTGAGAATTTTTGAAATACATGTAGACCATTTCAGACAGCAATCCATACAACAGATCTTCCATCTACCACTAAAGGTAAATTAAAGAAAACATTTCTCATTTGACGTTTATAAAACATGTCTATCTAACAACTATATTGTCATTATAAAGTTAGTTACCTGATAGGATCATTAGAAGTTAGAAGATACCAAGCAAGTCGTATTTTCTGCCATACAGACAAGGATGACAGAGCTCTCCTTAGTGTTACTTGGATAGGACGATCACCCAACTGCAGTCTACAACCAGGAATTTTCTTTGCCTGAAATATTTGTAATTCTTATGAAATATTTGTATTTCTTAAGTTAAAGAAAATTAACATAATCTAGAATTATTAATAAACAACTCAAGCAATCACAAATAATTCAGATGTAGAATGTTTTATATGCTTTTATACATGTATTTAAATAGTATAGGACTTAAGTGCAATAAAAACAAGAGCTGTCGGTAGGACAGCACGCTCGACTATTCTAAGTGCTTGACAGTAAAAGAGCCTTGATAATGTTAAATTTTTTAAGTTCACAAAAGGGCTAATTTTTTTTTTATAAATTCATGTTATAGGCCTTAGAGAGAGTCTAATTATACAGTATTGTCTTGACTTTTCTGAAGGTAATGTCACAAGGGTGTTTTATTAAGTATAATAATATCAATTACCTATGAATACATAAATTTGACAGAAAAGGTACAAAGGCTTGTTATTAAGATGTTTTATCAAGTAAATTACTGCTTTATTATTATGAATGCATAAAATTGTCCCAAAAAAGGCACAAACTCTTCAGTAGTAATTGAGATAACAGCTTACAAGCAAAACTTTATCATGAATTTCTAAGTTGAAAAAAGGGGAGAAAAATCAGCCTAAATGCAAGATAGAATTATGGATCTTTGTCAGTGACCTACAATTATGACCATAAATGCATATGTGAAGTTTTAAATTAATATCTTTAATAGTTATTGAGATATGTAAAACTTGCATGTTAACATTAACCAAGAGACTAAGTAGAAAAGGGGATATGAATCAGCCTTAATGCAAGATAGAGTTATGGAACTTGGTCAGTGACATACAATTATGATCCTCCAATTATGACCCTAAGAGCATGTGTAAAGTTTCAAGATAATATCTTTGAAGACTATTAACCTGTAACCAAAATTTCTAAGTTTCAAAGGGGCAAATAATTCTGCAAATATTGATAGCAGAATTATGCAATTTTGCAAACTGATGTACATTGTTACTATAAAAAAAGATTTTAAATTTCAATTGAATATCTCAAGCAATAATTGAGATATTTGACTTTACAAAAAAACTTTAATCAAAATTTCTAAGTTCCAAAGGGGCATAATTCTGTCAATATTGTAGGCAAAGTTATCCAACTTGTCAATCTGATGTACCTTGTTACTATAAATAAGTATTGAAAGTTTCAATTGAATATCTCAAGCAATAATTGAGATATTTGACTTTACAAAAAACTTTAATCAAAATTTCTAAGTAAAAAAGGGGCATAATTCTGTCAATATTGTAGGCAGAGTTATCCAACTTGTCAATCTGATGTACCTTGTTACTATAAATAAGTATTGTAAGTTTCAATTGAATATCTCAAGCAATAATTGAGATATTTGACTTTACAAAAAACTTTAACCAAAATTTCTAAGTAAACAAGAGGGCCATGATGGCCCTGAGGTCGCTCACCTGTATATAGCCCCCCCCCCCCCCCCGTGCCAATTTTTACCCAAGGGCTTTTATTTGAAGATAAGAAGATGTTTCATGCTAAACATCTAAGTTCTAGCTCATTGGGTTTTTTTAAAAGAAGATTTTTTTAAGTTTTTACTATATATATACACATGTAGTTAAAAACAATGACACCCCTGGGGCAGGGCCAGTTTTGACCCCCGGGCTTTTATTTGAACAAACTTTGTAGATATTTACTTAAAGATGTTTCATGTATAATATCTAAACTCAAGCTATTTGGGTTTTTTCAAAGAAGATTTTTAAGTTTTTGCTATACACGTATAAGGAAAATCAATGACCCCCGGGGCGGGGCCAGTTTTGACCCCAGGGCTTTTATTTGAACATACTTGGTAGACACCCATTAGAACATGTTTCATGCTAAATATCTTAGCTCTAGCTCTTAGAGTTCTTTAAAAGAAGATTTTTTTAAGTTTTTACTCATAATATGCATATAGGGAAAATCAATGACCCCCTTGGGCGGGGCCAATTTTGACCCCAGGGCTTTTATTTGAACAAACTTGGTAGACACTCATTAGAAGATGTTTCATGCTAAATATCTTAGCTCTAGCTCTTTGGGTTCTTTAAAAGAAGATTTTTTAAGTTTTTACTATATGCACATAGGGAAAATCTATGACCCCCTGGGACGGGGCCAATTTTGACCCCAGGGCTTTTATTTGAACAAACTTGGTAGACATTCACTAGAAGATGTTTCATGCCAAATATCTAAGCTCTAGCTCTTTGGGTTCTTTAAAAGAAGATTTTTTAAGTTTTTACTATATGCATATAGGGAAAATCAATGACCCCCCGGGGCGGGGCCAATTTTGACCCCAGGGCTTTTATTTGAACAAACTTGGTAGACACTCACTAGAAGATATTTCATGTCAAATATCTTAGCTCTAGCTCTTTGGGTTCTTTAAAAGAAGATTTTTTAAGTTTTTACTATATGCATATAGGGAAAATCTATGACCCCCTGGGGCAGGGCCAATTTTGACCTCAGGGCTTTTATTTGAACAAACTTGGTAGACACTCATTAGAAGATGTTTCATGCTAAATATCTTAGCTCTAGCTCTTTGGGTTCTTTAAAAGAAGATTTTTTAAGTTTTTACTATATGCATATAGGGAAAATCAATGACCCCCTAGGGCGGGGCCAATTTTGACCCCAGTGCTTTTATTTGAACAAACTTGGTAGACATTCAATAGAAGATGTTTCATGCCAAATATCTAAGCTCTAGCTTTTACAGTTCTTTAAAAGAAGATTTTTTAAGTTTTTACTATATGCATATAGGGAAAATCAATGACCCCCCGGGCCGGGGCCAATTTTGACCCAAGGGCTTTTATTTGAACAAACTTGGTAGACACTCACTAGAAGATGTTTCATGCCAAATATCTTAGCTCTAGCTCTTTGGGTTCTTTAAAAGAAGATTTTTTAAGTTTTTACTATATGCATATAGGGAAAATCAATGACCCCCTGGGGCGGGGCCAATTTTGACCCTAGGGCTTTTATTTGAACAAACTTGGTAGACACTCATTAGAAGCAGTTTCATGCCAAATATCTAAGCTCTAGCTCTTACGGTTCTTTAAAAGAAGATATTTAAAGATTTTTCTTTCGGTTGCCATGGCAACCAGAGTTCTGCATGAAATGGAATTCTTTGAACAATCTTGATAGAGCTTCATACAAAGAGTATTCCTGCCAAGTTTCATTAACATTGGCCTTGCGGTATCATAGAAGATGTCCTTAGAATATTCAAAATGTGGACGGACGACAGACGACGGACGCCATTTGGTTGGCCATCCTAAAAGCTCACCTGCACTTTGTGCAAGGTGAGCTAAAAAGGGGCATAATTCTGTCAATATTGTAGGCAGAGTTATCCAACTTGTCAATCTGATGTACCTTGTTACTATAAATAAGTATTGTAAGTTTCAATTGAATATCTCAAGTAATAATTGAGATATTTGACTTTACAAAAAACTTTAACCAACGCAGACGCCGACGCGGACGCGGACGCGGACGCCGGGGCGACTACAATAGCTCTCATATTCTTCGAATAGTCGAGCTAAAAATGATTGGATCATTGATTCATTTTTAAATGCAACTTAAACTACTACTACAATTCATAGCTAAAGCAGTGCAAAATCATGACTTAAATCAATTTAAAGGGAAACTTAGATTCTTAAGTCAAGACTAAACATTTCTGAGGCAAGTTTCAAAGGAGAAACAGTTTATATATATTGTTGACACCTGATGTAGGTATTGGATCTTAACTGGTTGCTCTTAACATAACATAATAGCTGACACCTTATGTAGACACCACACCTTATCTTAAGAGCTAGAGCAAAACATTGCCTAATACTGAGTTTAAGTAAGAAAACTAACATTTTAATGAGATAATTGAAGACATCTCTAACTTTGAATGTATGTCAATTGCTTATACAAATTTACAGATTTCTGAGTAGGCTTTTTTCCTGTAAATGTATATGTGTTTAATTGTTGAACATTACATCACTCCAGTTATATAACATGTAGCAGTTAGCAAGCAAACCAACAACTTCCTACTGCATTATCTATGCTTGCAATTTTTGGATTAACAATGTAACTGAAATCTGGAAAGGGGAGATTCTTTGGAAGCAATGAAAACAACAAAATTACACGAAAATTGTAGACTCTGTTTGACTTAGTCTGTTCTAGAAGGAAAATGGAAAATTGCAACAACTCTTATACCCCCTATTACCAGCTTGAAGGGTATTCAATCTTCAATGATTTAAGGGAACTCCACTGACATAAAAAAAGTCTAAAAACATAAAATTGCAAATTCATACATTTAAATAAAGCAAATAAATTGAAAAATCTATGAATGATAATAAATATACAAAAATTAAAATGAAAACCAATTTATTTGCAGTTCTAAGATGAATTTGAGCAAAAATCATTAAGGCTCTTCATTTTGGTGCCATTTTTCACAATTAAAATGATTATCCTGGAAAAACGGGGTGAGGGAATGATCTTGAAATAAACTGTCACACAAATTTCTGGTCCAGACCTACATCAAATGGTATACAAATTATGCTCGGAAAAATGCTTCCAGTGCCATCATGTTAAAAAAAGCTAAGTGGATCAATGAATCAAAAGGATAAAAAAAATATAACAAATTTACCTCTCGGAATGCTGTCCTAAATTCTCCTCCCGGAGCCATACCAAGTTGTTTTGTGAGATGAGCTGACATACTTAGAAACAGTAAGTGCATTATACCTTGACTTAACCCACTCTGGAATATGTACAGATTATTCAGAAAAGGAAATAATAAAATAAATAAAGTAATTTTATTTCCAGCCTTAACACATTAAAAATAACATATATATACAGTAACTTTATAAGAATAATCTACCTATGAGTGATAATTTTTAAGGGAAAACATGAACATGAAAACTTCTTTCTTGCTAGATTGTTTTGTTTTTTTCAAAAACAGAATAAGTCCACCAATAGACCATCTTTAAATGATTTAGGTTTCAATAAAAAAAGAAACTGCTATTACGGTGGAACCTGTCTAATCTGGACCAGAAAAGCTCGGATTAGAAAGGTTTCTAAATTAGAATTATTTTCCTGATATTTGTACATGTGGAGAACAGAATAGTTTATGGAAAGAAAACGGAAATGCATATGAAATTGCAACATAAATATTTTATTTATTAGGCTGAGACATGATTAAATATTTGTACCCAGATCGGCGATTATCCCAATTCACTGACAGTTTTCCTGAATTGCCTTTATGTAATCCCATGTCATTAAATTCATTACTTAAGATTCATAATTAGCTGTGTGCATAATATCAAAATTTTTATTGAAAGTGTTGAAAATCAATCAATTATAGTCGCTATCAAAACAAGCTAAGTGTAATTTTCATCCCTTTGCCCATCATATGTTTCTTGTCAGTTTGGTGTATGTTTACATCTGCAAGATTTGCGATATTTTTTTATTTTGAATGAAAGTACAGGCTGTAGGTGTGACAATCTGCAAACTCTGTTCAGATACCAGAGGTTAATTTTAGAGTTAATCAAGAACAAAATTTGAAAGAACATCCAGAATTCAGAGTAAACAGGTTCCGGATCCGAAAGATTTTTTACTATTAGAATTAGAAGGAATAAAATTGGAACCAGACAGTTTGGATAAGAAAGGATTCCAGATAAGAAAGGTTCGGATTAGCAAAGCTCCACTGTAAAAACCTTTAACAATAGTAACTAAGATTAGCTGTTATCACTAAATGAGTTTCCTTATAACTTTATCATTTCATTATTGTTTTTCAACTAGTACGAATCAAGCATAATTTTCTCAATTATTAAGTTAGAGATGGTCAAAATAGAGATATCACCTGTTTAACTGCTAGTCTAATTTTTTCCAGATTTATATCTTTTGCTTCTTCTAACAATCTTTCTTCATCTAACTGTAGTATATTGAGTCTACTATTACACAGTTCTACCATAACTACGTCAGGCTGAGTGGCTTCTATTGTCTACAACATAATAAATGTAAACATGATGATAATGTTTATAAAATTGTTACATTATCAAAAGGTTTTATATCATTTAGATGAGAAGATAGACATATAAATGTCAACAGCAGGTATTACTATATATTTATGTAGATAACAACATTTTGCTGACATAAATTTATAAGGTAGCTCTGGGGCCTTTACCTGCTGGAACAGAAAGTGATTAGACTTTGCCAACAGTAAAGAGCCAGTTTTACTGTTGGTAAATGTAGTTCAACTTTCATATTTTGATATCAAGATTCCTTAATTTATAGATGAACTGTTCCAAATTCAAAGCTTAGAAAATTCATTACATAAATTCAGCAGGTTAAGGTTGACTCTATTATTACAGTTATAATGAACAAATGGCATTTTACCTTTACAACATCATCCTGACTTTCCTGGCTGAAATGTGCAGTACCTACAACATAAACCTTACTCCCCCAACTAGTTTCTAAAGTTGTTACTGTAGATGGTAAAGTAGGATTCTCAACTCTCTGTTTCAGGCCTGGAACACCACTATAATTGGAACCAAATTCATTCATAGAAATAAACTATCAATTATCAATATATTTAAAATTATTGGGTGGTCAGAGGGGAAAAAAAGATGGGTGAAGTAATTATAAAAAGGACATTTTCAAAACTTAAAATATGTAGCCTTAAGTGTGTATAGTCAAATGTTCTATGTTGAAGAATATTTTTTGGAAAACAGTTCATGTAAATATAACTGTTGATAAAAGCTTTCAATAAGTACATCTTATTTCTTTACTTTTAAAATTTGGATTTTGAGTTTCACAGAATCTGTAAAGGTCATATTGCAACTTTCCACACTGACTGGTGCAGGCAGACCTCAGGTACTGTGTGCATTATTTCAGGCAAAATGCAGGCATTCTTGTAGAACCATCAGCCCTCTGTTTGCTAGCATGACAGTTTCCTCACAGAAAAGAATCTTAAGGCCCTGGCAAACTACACAATCATGGTCATGTACAAACAATTCCATCCTACAACCTTGTATATCTTAGTTATGCACAATCAAATGAACACTACATACTAGCAAATATTAATGTGAGTATCCCCTTGCTAATGTATCCCTCAATTTAGTACAAACATGACTTAGTTTGTCCCGGAAAATTCATCTGACATGTTTAAACATGATCCTAAATGTAGTTATGCCCCTTCTCATTATTCACATTAGCATAATTGGTTATAGTCCTGCAAATTATTCCCAACCCATTTGTATAATCCTATAATAGTTATTGTCCAGCTAATTCATTAATCACCTTAGCATAATTATTATAGCCCTTTACACTCAAATTGATTTGAAATTTCAATCTCAGTACCATGTTCATGCCCTGACCACATGTTTGTACTTCCTGAACTAGCCTTGTAAGTTCCTAGTTCATCTTTTTATCTTAGCTTATGAATCTTTAGCCTACATCCTAGTATACCATAGTAATGCCCCCAGAAAATCAAACCTTCATCCTAGTTCAAATCAAAACTTGGTAATACCACTGAAAATCAATCCCACATCACGGATGTAAAAACTTGGAAAAAAATAGTTGTATATCCAGAGAAATTTATGTAGTCTGAACCCTGAAATGCTTATGAAAATTTATCCTATACTCTAGTGCAATCTTTACTTCACATTTTATATATACAGAAAATGCTTCTTGCATCAATTTTATTTCCTAATCGTACCTTGCTAAATCTGCAGCAAGTTCATCATTGTCATCTATATCTGTATCTTCATCATCACTCTCAAAATCATCAGAGTATACATATCTGTTCATATCATCATCTGTATCTTCAGTCTCTACATTCTTCACATCTTCAACAGCATCTAATGTTACAAGTATTCTTACAGAACCTCCTCAACAAATCACTTTAACCCCTTACCACACTAAATATCCTCAATGGACTTGTCCATCTTTCAATCTGAACAAAACCATTTATCATATTTAGGGGAAATTTCAAAATAAGTACAGGCTAAATAGCAAACAGTGCAGACCATGATAAGAGGGCATAGTATATGATAAGAGGGCATAGTAGTGCCAGCTGATTTCGATCTGCACTGATTGCCTGGGCAAATAAAGTCACACCAGCAGACTAAAGGTTAAATATCTCTTTTGATACAATTTAAAGCAAGTGTTGTAAATTGCTATCAAGTAGCATACATAAATAGCATAATTTTCTTAAACATTAACTCTAACTATCATACATTAGATACAAGAGGGCCATGATGGCCCTGAAGTCGCTCACCTGCATATAGGCCCCCAGAGCGGGGCCAGTTTAAACCCCAGGGCTTTTATTTGAACAAACTTGGTAGACACCCATTAGAAGATGTTTCATGCTAAACATCTAAGGTCTAGCTGGTCAAGTTTTTTCTTTACACATATAGTTAAAAACAATGACACACCTGGGGCAGGGCCAGTTTTGACCCAAGGGCTTTTATTTGAACAATCTTTGTAGACACTTACTAGAAAATGTTTCATGCTTAATATCTAAACTCTAGCTATTCGGGTTTTTTCAAAGAAGATTTTTAAGTTTTTGCTATACAGTCGAAACTGTACTAACGGTCACCTCTTATCGGCGGTCACCTGACCTTAACGGCCATTTTGTGACGCTCCCGACGAAAACCACTCTATTTTATACATCTGTTCAACGGTCACCTGCTGTCCGCGGTCAAACGGTCACCTAAAGTGCTTCCCAAATCTTAAAGTCGGTCATCTTAAGCGGTCAGCCAGGTGAAACGGCCAAGCAATCTTCTGCGGTCAGCCAGGTGAAACGGCCAGACAATCTTCTGCGGTCAGCCAGGTGAAACGGCCAGGCAATCTTCTGCCAGATGACACGTGTCACGGATTAACAAAAGCTACTTGTCAGGTGCTAGATATTAACACAAACCACAACATTTCAAGAAGTTTGCATAATTGCTCATCCGTGTCGTAATTACAAACGTTTGGAACGTCTCCAGGCACATGCAATTCGTTCTTTTGAGTTATTGCACGCTACTTTTTTATTTACCGATTTTAAGAAAAAAAGAAAGAAGAAAAAAATGCATTGTCGATGGCAGAAAGAAATTTCAGTTTATCCCGATTCAGATAAATTTTGTGCGTACATGGTACTTACCAAAGAAATGAAAATGAATTACATCGCCGATTGTCTAAATTCCTCAGTAATAAATTCATAAAAACACTTGCTCCATGTGTGATAATAAAATTGCATAAATATAATGAGGTCACTGTTAAATCACACCCATTAAGTTTACACACTAGATGACCTCTAAGAGGTAACTAGCGGTCTCTTCACAGAAATCTTTGATGTTTTCAAACCTGTAGCCTGCTGTTTCAATCCGAAACATCAAAGGAAATGCCGACACTTAGATGACGTGTACACAATATTCTATTGATCAAAAGTTAGAAAAAGAAACTGTCATACTTTTTTGTGAAAAAAATATATCGCATTTTAAATTATTGTGCAAGAAGATATTTTTATGGGATAAATAGTTTCAATTATTGACATAATAAATCGTGAGTGCATTAATTTGTTTATCTGTGTTACATTCATGTAAAGCTTTATATGTTGGAAGGATTGTGTACATGTTAAACCATTAAAGCATACGTTTGTAAATGGTTAAAAACTGATGATGATGATGATGAATCAGACTGGTTTATTTATACTTAAATCAGATTTATTTTACAAAGAAATGAATAATTTATTTGGATAAAAACTGGATCCTCCATTCAGCAGCCACCTGTCTTAAGCAGCCAAAATGACTGCATCCCTTGGCTGGCTGCTTAAGACAGTTTCGACTGTACACATATAAGGAAAATCAATGTCACCGGGTGGGGCCAATTTTGACCCCAGGGCTTTTATTTGAACAAACTTTGTAGACACTCACTAGAAGATGCTTCGTGCTTAATATTTAAACTCTAGCTATTTGAGTTTTTTCAAAGAAGATCTTTAAAGTTTTTGTTATACACATATAAGGAAAATGAATGACCCCCGGAGCGGGGCCAATTTTGACCCCAGGGCTTTTATTACAACAAACTTGGTAGACACTCACTAGAAGATGTTCCAAGCTTAGTATCTAAACTCTAGCTATTTGTTTTTTTCAAAGAAGATTTTTTAAGTTTTTGCTATGTATATAAGAAAAATCAATGACCCCCCGGGCAGGGCCAATTTTGACCCCAGGGCTCTTATTTGAACAAACTTGGTAGACATCCATTAGAACATGTTTCATGCTAAATATCTTAGCTCTAGCTCTTTGGGTTCTTTAAAAGAAGATTTTTTAAGTTTTTACTATATGCATAAAGGGAAAATCAATGACCCCCTGGGGCGGGGCCAATTTTGACCCCAGGGCTTTTATTTGAACAAACTTGGTAGACACCCATTAGAGGATGTTTCATGCTAAATATCTTAGCTATAGGTCTTTGGGTTCTTTTAAAGAAGATTTTTAAAGATTTTACTATATGCATATAGGGAAAATCAATGACCCCCTGGGGCGGGGCCAATTTTGACCCCAGGGCTTTTATTTGAACAAACTTGGTAGACACTCACTAGAAGATGTTTCATGCCAAATATCTAAGCTCTAGCTCTTTAGATTTTTTAGAAGAAGTTATCTAAAGTTTTTTCTTTTGGTTGCCATGGCAACCAGAGTTCTGCATGGAATTAAATTCTTTGAACAATTTTCAAAGGTGACCACCAAAGGAACATTCCTGTGAAGTTTGGATGAAATTGGCTTAGTGGTTTATGAGGAGATGTCATTTAAAGTAAAAGTTTACGGACGACGGACGGACGGACGCCGGACGAAAAGCGATCACAAAAGCTCACCCTGTCACTTTGTGACAGGTGAGCTAAAAATTGGTTCTATTTGCATATTTCTTCATTTTATAAGTGTGAAAAAAGATTATTTTCTGAATTATAGAGCATTTTAGTTTCTGAAGAAAAGATTTCATTTTTTAAAGGCACACTATGCCTCATTAATCAAGTTTTCATTCTTTAGAAAAGACAAACATGAGCTTTATGATATTAAAATTATAGTTTTAGAGCATTTCATATACTTATGACCTGAAGAAAGAAAGGCCAAATGTGAAATAATTTGTTTAATTTATAAGCAGCAAAATGTAAGCAAAGTACATGTAGTATAACACTAAATCACCAATTTTCAAGAATTGCCAAAAAGCAACAGAAGCAAAATATGGTTTAGATAATTAGCCAGTGAGTAACTTTTCAGATACAAAAAAGAAGAAGCTTCTGAGAAATGAAATGGGGAATAATTGGCCTTTAAGACTATGACCTATGTATGCATCAGACAGGAACCATTTCTATATTACTTTTGTAAAGAATCACCTAAGAATCATTCCTGTGAAGTTCGGTCAAAATCTATTTAGTGGATAATGAGAATGATGATATTGTTTTAAGTATTCTGAATAATGACACACAGAACAGACAATAGAGATCAAACTATCACAAAATCTCTGAAAAACTTTGTGCTCTATGGAGCTATGAAGAAAATTTGCAAAATCAATCAGTTGTTACTTTTTGGAAATAAAAATTACTTTCTTATTTTACATAGAGATATAAGTTACCTACCAGGTATATTCAAATCCTCTTTATCAATGACAACCAAGGACTGGGACTGGGACCCTCTTCCACTATCAAAGTCAGATAATGGAGATTCTTTCATCTTCCCATCTTGTGCATCTCCACGACCAGTTACTGTGGACATCTTTACCTACATGTACATAAACATAAAATGATGAAAGCTATGTTTTGCATAAATTCAACCTTTTTTCAAAATTATCCGATAAAAATTTCAAATCAAAACAGTAAGTTCTGTAAAAGTTGATTATTGATGGAAATATATCTTTTAAGTAGCAAATGTAGGCAACTATCCCAAACATACACATAATTTCCAAAATAAAGCAAAAAAACAGCTGAAAAACAATGTGTATCTAAATTTTCAAACACATTCTTGATTCCTTGTGGTACATATAATTCTTATTAAATGCCCCCGGGGGCTAAACATTTTCCAAAAGGGGGGCTATTATTACAACACAGTTTTTCCTAAATCCAAAAATCATTGTTAAAACATTTAGTGTTAGCAAGTGTTGGTAATAACATTAACAAGAGCGATCAGTGATCACATGTGTCGCCTCATGATGGCCAATTTCTTGTTGGGACAAGTTTTGTGACAGATGGACAGACAGACGGACAGTGCACAACTAGACTTGGTACTGATCATTCCTGTAAAGTTTGGATAAAATTGCACCAGTAGTTTATGAGGAGTAGTCCGGACAAGCTTTTGTTTATCTGGCAACACACAAAAAAAAAACACCTTTTTATCAAACGGCCATAACTCTGCCAAAAATCATTCAACCGGAAAACCTGTGCAACATGCGCAAGGACTTGAGCTACAGATCAATCATGTAAAGTTTCATTGAAATTGCATTAGTGGTATAAGAGAAGTAGTCCGGACAAACTTTAAAAATAAAAATTATTAAAGGGTCATAACTCTGACAAAAATCATTGAACCAGAAAATGCTGACAATATGCACAACAAGACTTGGTACTGATCATTCCTGTAAAGTTTGGATGAAATTGCACCAGTAGTTTATTAGGAGTAGTCCAGACAAGCTTTTGTGTATCTGGCAACACACAGAAAAAAACACCTTTTTATCAAAGGGCCATAACTCGGCCAAAAATCATTCAACCGGGAAAACCTGTGCAAGATGCACAAGGACTTGAGCTACAGAACAATCCTGTAAAGTTTCATTGAAATTGCATTAGTGGTGTAAGAGAAGTAGTCCGGACAAACTTTAAAAATAAAAATTATTAAAGGGCCATAACTCTTACAAAAATCATTGAACCGGAAAATGCTGACAATATGCACAACAAAACTTGGTACTGATCATTCCTGTAAAGTTTGGATGAAATTGCACCAGTAGTTTATGAGGAGTAGTCCGGACAAGTTTTGTGACGGACGGACAGACGGACGGACAGACAGACGGACAGACAGACGACGGAGAAGTGTTAAGATTTCAAAGTTCATACTATAAAATAAAATGAATTCTGAATGATTTGAATGAAATTATGGATTTACTCATGAGTTCAGCACTGATGAGTAGATTGTTTTTCTTAACAAAAGGCCTGGGGGCCTTTATTAGGGGAGGGGCGTTTATTAGGAATTTTACGGTATGTTTTTCCCATCTATCCCACTCATTTAACATTAATGTTGACTTATTGATAAGGTGATGAAATGTGTATGGACATTGGTTAACATTACTAGAGTATATCAATTTTTAAATTTCAATATGTGTATGTACACTGAGTAAGTTGATTTATATCTAAGCATTTTGTTGAATATTATGTTGATGTTGTCTTTGCCTGGGACTCAATGAATCTCAAAAGAGGCTAAACCATGGCCATAGAGGTGATATGTAAGCCTCTTGCTAGGGTATGTTTCATGGAGAATATTGTCTTTGAATGATTATTGTTCATTCATGTTGACCAACGGAGCATTTTCAATTGTATTTGATGTCACACACTGGTAATTTAATTTGTGTATATATGATATGAATGTAATTTGTATGATCCTTGGTATACCTAAATATAATGTGCATATACACTGAACTTTGCTTGTGTCTTTTGATATTAAATGAAAACTTATGATTTCCTTGTAATTTAAAACTTTTCCCCAGGATGACACACTAAAAATAGCAAGAATGTTGAAAGGAGTTGTGTATAAGAGGAAATAAAAATGTAAAACCTGCAGTCTCCTGGATGTAATCTCCCTATGTTTACCACAGTCTATATTTCATACAGTAATACACTACAAATATGACCTCTGGGTAGGGCTGTCATTGATCAATATATTGGGAGACAAATATCAACAATACATGTATATCGATATATCGACTTTGACTGTAGATACAATAAAAATCTTTTAAATAAGTGTTATAAATTGGGATCATTGTGTTATGCATGCTTGTATTAGACATTAGTCATTACAAATACTGCAAACAAACAGAATGTTTGTTTTTTGCGTTATTTATCATCATTAAATTTATGCCACTGATATTTCAAAACTGAGTTTAAAGTTCAAGATAGCCAACAAAACTGAAAAAAATGACTTCTCTTATTAGGCAAAATGGAGAAGTATGTATATTCACTAACAGAAATAAATTAATTTTAGCTTGTATCGATAGGCCTATATAAAAGTGTGTATCAATATTGTATTGGATGATGAATATTGATGATATATCGATATTGCGAAATTCAATGACAGCCCTACCTCTGGGTCTTATCCAGGAAATAGTCTTGACCGATATTACATTGATGTCTGTCTTAACAAGTCTGTCTTACGAGGGGTGACCGTAATGTGTTTCGTCGGGTCATGTGTTTTGACGCTCATCTATTTTGACGCCATTTTTGTTTTGACCTAAAAAATGACGAAAACGACCTCGTACGTATGACGTCATAATTTGCTGTCTGCACTGCAAGCATGTATTTACAACATATAACTAAAACATGTGGAAAGACATAGATATTTCACTGAAAATACTTCACCTTTATCATATGTACTGTATTTTTTCATCTTTTTTACTAATGCAAATTCAATTGATGTTTATGCAAGCCATAATTTTGCAAATATAGCCTTTGAAAAATCTTGACCTGCCCTTTTCTGTTTCTATCCTCCATTTTAAAATGTCTAATGAGTGTCATGTGACCAAAACTTTGCAAAGTGTCCTTAATATTCACTGTATCATAAGGTGTACAGCTTATATTGTTTGAAAACGTTAATTGGTTTTTAATTGATACTGAGTAAAATTCATAATGGATTAATTATTGTATATAAAGTTTAAAAAAGAAAGAAAAAAAATCATTTTTCAAATAAACATATACATATCTTTACAACATCATTCATTTTAGATATATTTTTCAGCCCTTTAAGCCAAATACAGATGCTATTCATCAAGATTAATGGTAAATACATTCAAGGTTAAAGAGACAGGTGCACCTAATAAGACCACTGCCAGGGTGTATGACATTCCTAAATAATGGATAGTTTTATATGAAATATATTATAATTTTAAGTTTTCACGATGTTGTTACATTGCAGGTTTGCTCATTTAAAAACTTCTTTTGCTGTTCATACTTCATTACAGTGAAATATCCTTTTAAAATAACCACCAAATGAAAAGGCGTCATTTCATATGACTGTAAACAACAATGGATGCCTCCACAGTCTGTTACACAAAACATAACTGATTTTGAATTTTAACAAACATAAAAATGGTTTGCAGTGACAAACAACATGCCATAGTTACTTTATATTGTATATTATTTAATGATCAGTTCAATATAAAGAAATGCACTAGTTAAACAGCTTAAGGGCGTCAAAACTAATGACTCTAGGATATATGTATATAATAAAAAGCCAGGCACATGATTTTTTGGGCTTACATTATCTAGGATAAAGCCATGAAACCAGGGTCCTACACAGTGTAGACACTAAAGGCAAATTGTCACTATTTTTACAGTGTGAATTGCTGTATTGTCTCCCAATGCCTAGTACACTTGAAGGCGCTCATTGAAAAAATGGCTTTCCTTCACATGCAAATATTTAATGGTGTTCAACCGAAAAACTAGTGACAAAAGTTAAGATTCATGTAAAAGCTTACTGATTTTACTACTTTGTAAGTTTCCCGTAACTATATATTCAGCAACAAACAATTGTTATATCAATGCCAGTACTTATGGACATTCTACGACTACGAAAGTTCAAAAATATGTTTGACAGCTGAAACACTTGAGCCATGTAGAGACTTCCGTTTGTGTACACAAATACCCGTGACGTTTTACACATTGCAGTCGTGTAAACAGCTGTCATCTCGATATAAGTGTACAAATTCACATTCAAATAGTCATGTCATTTTAAAAGAATATACATAGACATAGCAGATAAACTTTTGCATTTATTTCACAGTGTAAAAAAGTGTGTAAGTACCTCCGTTATTCCAACATAACTATATCTCAACTGAAGTTATTTCGGATATGGTACCATAATTCGACCAATCTGTTGCATACAATCATGTGGCCATCTACAATTGTCAGAAAGATGACACTATGTTTTGTTGACAGATGGCCATACACAACATTGAAAGAAAAATTACTTTGGGGTTAAATGTGTAAATCATTCAAATTTACAGTAGATAAATGATTTATTCCTTAAATTAACTGTTTAATACAATATATTCAAGCACAGGAACCTGAAGTTTTATCAAAGTAAAACAGTGAGAATATATAGGGTTTGTTAAAAGTGTTTAACCAGACTTCTTTGTACAGTTTGTATCTGAACCATATGAGTTTGACTATGTGGGGGACCAGACTTCAGATGCATATAATCTAATTGTGGATAAACTAGAGCCTTAAGCAATTGTCCTAAACTCTGAATGGGTTTTGAGTTAACTTTTATATTACAGCGTAAAATTTGAAGCCAAGGGTTTGGTTTGCCATATTACAGAGTAAGAAGCCGAGCAAGGGTTTGGTTAACATGTTCTTGTGCTTGTCTGGAAAGTTGTTCCATGACAGATTTTTGATCCATGACAGCTTTTTGATTTATATATATGTGTAATATATATACACTCCAATATATTTAGCAAATGTTACCGCCTCAAGAATAATTCCATGAAGAGAATATTATGTTGGTATTATAAGGATGTTTACTTTATCCTTCATGGATTACTTGACATTTGAATGGGTTGAACTTTTTTTCACAATCTAACTGAATTTTCTAAATAATAAATTTGTATAAGATTATGTCACTTGTAATAATTATTATGGCTACTATAGACACAATGTACAAATAAAGTATAGTGCTTATCAAGGGCACAGATTATAGATGTTTATTTTTTTTGTTTTTAAAATTACTAATATTGATTTTTAAAGATGAATCCTTTTTTTCATTTTTTTTGACAAAAAAAAAACCCAGACCCTATAGATAAAATCTGACATTTTCCTATAGGACCCCAGTCCCTAATATGTCGGTTTTGAGAAAAAAGTAGGTTTGGGGCCCAAATGTTAAATTTTAAAATAATTTCCCACCAGTCAGAAAAAGTTTGAAAAAAAACATCTAAACTTATCGGGGGGAAGCTCAATTTAACAGAAAATTTTATTCCCGAGTAAGACAAATTCTCTTGCTATAAAAATGTTTTAGTACATATTATCAGGATATTTATTGGCCAATATTATATTTTGTAAGAAGTATTTCAAATCAATTTTTTATTTTTTGAAAGGTTGAGATTACACAGTTCAACTCAAGAATGTTAAGATTAGTTATTTCTACTTTTTGTCAAAGAATAATGCTTCCTTTTATTAGACTAAGAGTATCCACAGAGATATCACAGCCATCTTGTTGTCAAAATGTAACATAAATCTTTCATACAATGAAAATTGTCAGAATATTAGATACTTAAATCAACAAATTTTACTTTTAGCAAGATGTAATTACTGTTTTATGATGACTTTGATATTATATATTGTAGCATGTTGAAGGGAGACCAAGTGATGGATGTTTACATGAACTGCCATGGACTATTCGGGACTCACTCTCTCTGTATGAACAGATGAGTGTTGCATTTAATGCTTTAACCGAGCTTCCAAATGAGCTGCCTATCCGACTGCCTCACCTTAATTATCTAGACCTCTCCTACAACCAACTAGAGACATTACCTGATACCTTCGGTCTACTTTTTCATCTAGAAACACTCAACTTAAAGTTCAATTGTATCAAAACACTCCCAAACTCATTCTATCGCCTCATAAAGTTGAGTAAGTTTGATATTTCACACAACCGTTTAAAAACACTATCGAATGACATCATCTATTTAGAGAGACTCACCAAATTCAATGTCTCATTTAACAAACTGAAATCTTTGCCTGTTCCTGTAGGAGGATTGAAATCTCTCAAAGTTTTATTAGCTAATAACAATAGATTTCCGGAGACTTTACTTACAATTTGTAGCCATGGGTCGGATGAATTGTTATCACATTTAAGAAAAAACTACAACTTACACACACAGTGCTCAGAACAACTTCCTTCGTCTAACCATAATGTTTTTGCACGTGTGAGAGGTAATCATCTGCTTACATCTGTACCAAACCCACACTCTGCCCAGGTAGAATATATACAGTGTCAGACGCATACAGCAAACACTTCAAGCCGCCATCAAAAACCCACCACCTGCTTCCACCACAAGGTGCATTTTACATTAGATTGCTTAATGATCTAAAAAGATAAAGGATATAGGGTTAGGTTAAAAATTTTATACATTCTGGGTTTTACTTTTGTCAACACATCAATTTTCTTAACTGAACATATAAATCTGATTAAATGTATTTTACTTAAATGATCACCAAACAAAATTTTACTATAATTGAATTTTATAGGATTTTTTGATTTTAAAGCTATTGTTCTGCCGTTCTCTCTCATTTTTCCCCTACTGGCCAAATTTTCGAAATTACGGTTTAAATTACCACCTAGTATTTTGGATTTCTTTCATTGTGAGGAAATTTTTGCTCAGCTACCTTTACAAAAGTTTGGCTGTTTATACTCAGTGCTGCCTTTTGCACAGAGGTGCACCTTTGCAGGTTTTTTCCTTCAACAAGTAAAGCTGGAAACTTGCCCCATTTGACCTTAATAATGCAGGTGTGACTTAGAATTCCAACCAACCAAGAAAAAGAAAATATCAGGTTCATCCATCAAGTGTTGAACTTTATGGTAACCCTGCCATGCTTTCGGTGTCATTAAATAACTGATGTTTAAAACATGAAACTAATTATGATTTATGTATGTATCTAAAGGTCTGATATATGGGGCAGCTATAGGAGATGCTATTGGTCTGTCTACATGTTGTATGTCATCAGACGAGTGTCTGTTTCATTATAACAAGGAGGGTATTAATTACTCGGATATAGTACAGGACGAACTTCGTGTACGCTGGAAGCAAGGTGACTGGACTTCCAATTTTGATACCATGGTAATGCTCTTGAAACATTTGTGAACAATTATTTCAGTGCACAATTCATTTCCAAATATATGTATATATGCTAGGCTTTATTTAAGTCATATAACATACTTATTACAAACTTTGTACAAATATAGATCATATAGTTTACATATGATTCCTTAACACTGCCAGAGTTTATATATATGTAAATACTGTGCTATGAATAAAAGTGTTTTTTGTTTTTTTATCAACAACACAAGTCAGTATTCTTAAGGGCTTATGTCCTATTTTATGTGCTATAATCTAATATATTTTCTTATATTTATTTGTTTGGTGCCTAATTTTCAGCACATTTTTTTTGTCAAATCTCGGTGGTCAGTCCACCCCATTATTTCTTGGATAACTAACTAGTAATAACGGTTTTCTCCACAAGTGACAGACTACAAATCCAACCTAATATCTTAAGAAAAATGAGAATTAGACTTAATGTCAGTGATAAATTGTCACAGAGAAGTTTGCCTTGCCCAAGAATCAAACCTGCCACTGTGCTATAAGCATAATATATTGTTTTCAGTATATTGAATTAGATGTATAGTATCATTACTTTATATGTTTATATTATATGTACATGTATTACTATTGTTTATAATGTTCTTTTCCAGGTTAATTCTGTGTAACTTGTATTTTCAGGTGCTATTACTAGATTGCATAATATGCTGGGCAGGTGTTATAGATGAGCTGGAATTTGCCAAACGTCTAAGAACATGGTGTGATACTGGCTTTCCTGAGCTTGGTGATAAACAAGGCATTATTCTCAGTGAGACAGTCAAACAGGTTAGTGAAACTTAATCAGAAGTTTAAAAGAAGACAATTATTTACCTGTAGTAAATGATTGAAATAAACAGCAAACTATTAATTGACGGGTAACTTAGTAAAACCTTAAGTCAGTCTTAAAAAACTAAATGACACTATGAAACCAGTCAGTTTATAGATTAGATGATGTAATAAAAGAGCAGATATGTTTGTTTGTGTAACAGTTTAATGAGACAAATGAATCAGCTCAGTACAAAATAAACTAATACATGTATGTAAAAAAAACAGGTCAGTAACTTTGTAATTCAGTGAGTAGAAAAACAATTGCAGATGATTTTTTTTCTGAAATAACACCCATTACTGAACTCCCTAAGTTAAATGTACAAAATGAAGTTGCAAGTCCACATATTTTAAAAACACAAATGTACATGAAGATTTGACATAATCATATGATTCATTAAGACAGGATTCATTTATTCTAAACCATTATGTAGAAAGGATTAGTTAAACCTTTAATTTTAGCGACCTATATTGTATCTAAACCAGTAAGACTGATGATAATCTTTGAATATTATAATTTGTGAAGTTTCTGCTTGTCTGTTGTTTTTATAATCAAGCACTGAGATAAGATTAAAGAGCTGTTTATCTGATTACTTTTTTGAATGTAAAAGAATACAAATGTCTGAAACATGTACTGTACACCCAACTTGTTTTTGTTTTGTTTTTACCTTAATAATATTTTAGAAAAGAAATTTAATTTTTAGAAATATTGAAATGTCATTTTGGCTATCCTGTTTGAATTTTTTGTTCAGAAAGATGAAATACAATGTAAAAGAATAAAGAATGGTAAAGAAACATTCACCTGACAGCTCTTTTTTAATGCAAATGGTCCATTCCTTCAAAAGTATTTAGTAGAGGTAAAGGTGTAATATTCACTGGTGGTGTTTGGTAGTTTTCACTCTGGATCACAGCAGTAAGCCACATTGAATTTACCAGAGCACATTTCAGCCACGGCATCGTTCCTTGGCAGGCTGTCAAGCATGTACTAGTTGCCTCCACTTTCGCAAGGTACTTAAACTTCTGTACATGCCAGAGCAGAGGTACAGTGCGAATGACCAAAGAAAAGATTTCATGATCAATCACAACGAAAGTGACCTGACCTACACTGTCAGGGAATCGAACTCGGGTCGCCAGATTTCCAGTCCAATGCTCTACCTATTGAACTAACCGGACGGTCTTGTAATATTTACTTACCTGTGTTTCAGTTGATAGAGTACTCTGAATTCCTGATACATCCTCATTCAATAGCGGAGCAGGTTATTGAGAAAACTAGCATACATGTTATTGGTACGAGTGATGTTTGCAGTACTCTAGATGATGACACAGGTTCCGGCGGCAGTACGTGTAGTGACGTCAGCAGTATTAGTGACATCATCAGACAACATCAATTGTTTCCTAGTTCTCACCCTTCCATTCCTTCTAAAGTGTTTGGTACAGATAATGGAGCGATTGTTTCTATAGCAATATTAGGTATAAATGTTTGTTGACAGATAGAGAATTTAAAGTTTTATTTTTAACTTAATTTATGTATATTTCTTAGAAAGTCAGAAAATTCCTTGAGAAATATTTTCTTAGTAGGATTAAATATGGCCAAAGTAGGAACAAAAATGGGCATCAAAATGATGTATTCAGCAATTATCAATTTGCACATCATTCACAGAAAATACATTGAATAGTATAAAATTAACATCATTTAGTTTCATTTAACAGGTTATTACATCAAGAGCCTTATTAAAGTTAATGAAATTTAAGTGAAAATGTGTTAAAATGTTACCAAATGTAAATATTATATTCTAAAAAGTATGTACACATAGTGACATGTATTCTGTTTTATTTTGTATGCATTTCAGTTTTGATTTTTTTTTTTTTAGAGTTATGAACTCTTTAATGGCTTTGTTTTGTTTTTCAGACTTTTTCACAAAACAACAACATTTCATTCAGTATTTATTTGCATTTTTGTATTTTTATTTCTCGAAAGTTTGTAACAGGCTGCTGTCTGTTGTTATCTATAATTACACAACAGTGTTGATGTCATTACCTAGAAAATGGTTAAAGATATACATTTGTGATTTCAGGTGTGCCCAGTTTTCATCTATGTGAAGAAGTGGCAGCAAATACAGTTAGGATATGTAAAACAACACATAGCAGGAGTGTGTGTGTAGCTTCCTGTATCGTTATTACATCTCTTGTTTCACAGTTGCTACAGGTATCTTTTGCTTTATGAAAATTGAGCCGTGTATATTACAAATTTGCCAGCAAATACATACTTTTCTAACAAAAACATTTATAAAAGCCTGAGATATAATCAAAGTTTGCATAAAAAACTTAACAAAAGTCTTTACATAACAACATACATACTGATGCATGGTTATGAAGCAATATAAAAATGTCAAAAGAAATAGTGCCCATGGGATCTTACACATTTTCTGGTATTGGCTGACCCATTGCAGGTATACATTTTTGTAACAGGCCCAAACGAAATCAGACATTGCATTTGAGTTTGCTTGATTATATTGCATTGGTGAAGGGAATGTTGGGTTTTTACTCAATGTTTTAACCTTTTCCCTTATATAAGCGTGTTTCGACGGATTTTTGCCCCCCCCCCCGCGTTTTTGAGGCCTCAAACAGTGAAAAAATGTCCTAATTTAGGCCCCAAGCACTGTTTTCCGTTTGAGAAATTTTGTTAAAAAAGTGACCACTTTTTTCGGCGCCGTCCCCCATCCAAAATATATCATCAGGGGGGTTGCCAGAACGGGGATGTGCCCCCTTCTGTTTGGGGGGTTTGAAGGGGGCGGAGTCCCCCTCATCGCCAAGAAAATTTTGGACATGTGACAGGCTAAAAATGGCCTTCAGGTCGATCTTAGGGTCACTAGTTATCGACGCTGAAAAGCCTTTTACTCTATCTCAATTCATTGAGAAGTTGTCGCACTTTTGAAATCAGTTTTGATGGAAAAAAACAATGCAAAATAGTGATTTTTGGCAATTTTAAGACGTCCCCCCGTTGCCATGTTAACAGGAAATTTACCATTGAGCATGCTGTTACAGAGGCTATGGTGAAGTCAACATTTGTGCCAAGTTTCATTAGTATTGAAGTATTTTTCATAGTTTCATAGCACTTTGAACTTGTTACAGGAGGCTTTTCAATGAAAACGGCTATTTTTTCGCAAAATGCTCATGGGGTAAAAGGTTAATTCAAATTGATATAGATGAATCTTAGTTTTATAAGCAATAATGGATGTTGGGCTGTATTTTCGTAAGAACTCATATGAAGCATCTACCTTCTATTCTATATCTTCTGTTTTAAACAGCCATGGTACCTGTCTGGCCTGCACTTTTGTTATGTTCTTTGATTATTGCATCAAGTACCACATCCATTTGAAATCAAGGATGTCATTAAAATTCCCCTACAAAGAGACTGTCTTCTGTTGTAATGCAATCTAGCTATTCTCAGTTATTTCTTATCCAATACACTGTCCTCCCCTCTTCTTATTCTGTTTTGATACTTAAAATCAAGTTTCCTTGATCATTTTCTGGTTGAACAAGTTTTAAAAATAAACTTTCAAGTCTTGGTCGATGTCAAATTAGTGTTGCAATAAAGTTTCTAAACATTTTATAGCTTTGTCCTTGAAATAAACGTTATTTTTCATACATAAATGTTACAACCTTCAATGTTTCTAACCATTGTTAACCATTTGTTAATTAACATATGACAATCGTGATTTTCACCAGATGTCATGCAATGGTATCCTTTAATGTTGCATTAATATAAAAAGACTGTTCTACCACTGAAACTTTTAGCAAGTTTTCATTCGAGAAGATAATGTAATAAAGTCAAAGTGCTCTGTAAACCATTGTGTTACCCCGGCGATGGATGTTTTGCCAATATTACCATTATCGTGTATATTAATTTAGTAATATGAAGCAAATAGTAAGATACATGCTTTAGCAAAAACATTAAAACATCATATTGATATGACTGCTTATAATTATCTTATAGCCTTGTCTACAAACTTTCCAGACAGCCCTCATACATGTTTTTCATTGATTGAATATTACAAAGATAAAAGACTATAATTTCTATATATTTATCAGGGTCACACTGAATTGTAAACATTGGTAAAGCTTTTTGATGAAATGTTAATTTTAAAGCAGTAGTTTTTTTGCTTTAAAGTACTTTACAGACCCCCGTTTTCAACTTGAGGAAATTTATAAAATTTTACAAAACTACTTGTTTTTTCAATTTTAACTTTTAATGCTTTTATACTTTAACCCTTCTATTTTTTTTATTTCAAAAGGGGAAACCTTTTTCCATTTTTTCAGCCCTTGAACAAAATCATTCTTTTTAATTTTTTTGGGAAAAAAATTTTTAAAATTTTTTTATTGACTAAATAGTAAACATTTTGGAGGCAAGAATTTTGTTTTTTTTTTTTCACTTTTTTGGCATGAGAAATTTTTAAATTTCAGAAAAATTTTTTTTTTGATGAATTTTAAAATTTTAATTTTCATGAAGGGGCCATTTAAAGCTAAGGGGTTCATTTTCCACCAAAATTTTGTTATTTTTTGGTTTGGTAAAAATTTCACTTTTCTTGTTTGATGACCTCTTCCTGTCATGTTTTTTTCCCCTTTGAACAATTAAGCATTTCTTCTTGGTATTCTAACTTTTGGGCAGTTTTCTAGATGTAACTTTAGCAAATTAAGTATTGTTTACATTGCATGAAGGGTTCTATCATATGTTTTTTATTCAAATTAATTCATTTTCCATGCAAGAAGGGCAAACGAAAAGGAAACTATTTAAAAAAAAAGAATACAAAAAATATTGTAACAGGGAGGCCCTAATATCTAGAATAAATGTAATTCCCATTATAATGATTTGGCCTAATTCGTTTTGAATCTTTATCACTTCTTGTTTAAATGATTTTATGAATCCAAAGTTTAATTTCAGAATCATGTTTTGACCAGTTTTTCTCTCAATAAAAAATGTCATTACTTTTGACATTACTTGATGTTGGTTTAGCATTACTTTATAGATAACCTGTTTCATTTATTGTTTCGTGTTTTATAGCGTTGTAACATGAGAGAACAGTAACAATATGTCATATTAGTCTTAAAGCTATGTCACTGGTCTGATAGCTTTACGATCACAACAGTTCTTACAAGTACGTATTATCTTCAACTTTGTTTTCTTAAGTTTTTTAAGTCACGCTGAAAATGTAAAGGTCCCTTTATTATAGCAAGTTCTACCTGGTGGAGATAAGAAACTGAAGTCGAGTTAGATTTTATAGTTTAGCTTGCGAGGGATATCTTCCTCACATTATAAGATTTCAAAGTCTTAATGGGGATTGAACCCACAGTTGTGAGTGGTTTGAAGTAGGGGTGTCATGGTTAGGAAAAAAGTTGACCCGTTTTTAAACAGCGACCTAAATAACAGTGTTTAAAAGGTTTAACCGACCCATACTAATAAAATCATGTGATTTTTTCAACATTTTAACTTTGTTTTTTTAATGTACAAAGATGTGACATTTTGCTCTAAAATCATTTTTACTCAAAATGATTTCAACATGTAAATCAGTACTTGAATCTTGAATATTTTTACTTTTCTTAAAATCTTATTACTTTTTCTCAAGTTTTTTTCTTGAAATATTTCGACTCATCTGTAGTCATGCAACTTAAATGTAATATTTTTCTTCTTTATCTGTTTTTCCATTTACTCAGGTGATTATAAAAGATTCATTTACACTTCTTACTGAATACATACTTAACCTAATTATCCTGTTTATTTATCTACTTAACAGGTCATATATGATGAGTTTATTGATGGAGGGAGGTGACAGTAACAGCAATAGCTGTGTTGCCGGTGCACTTCTTGGTTGTAAAGTGGGTTATTCTCGTCTTCCACAGGAATGGATATTAGGACTATGTAAAAAGCAGACAGCCTGGCTGAATGTTAAAATTAACCATTTTCTTGACATGATGGGATTGCCGTGATAAAATCAGGAATTATGTTTATTCTAAGAGGTCTCCACTACTGTAATATTATACCAGAATTGTTGGCTGAGCCTAAATTTCCTCCTTTGCAATGTTTTTGATAGTATTAACATGCATTTATTTATAGCTCAATAGTAAAACAAATATTCTACTACTTTCTAGATGATCTTAGACTTAACAGTACATTTACCTACATCATGGACATGGTCCATTAATGGCTCAAATTGAAGACTCCCTTAGTGGAGAGGTAGGCCTTATTTAACATTTGAGCCGATGGGTTGGTCCTATTTTATATTCACACTGATTGGTTGGTCCCATTTAATATTAATGCTGTGGTACATGTAGGCCTCATTTAATATTGATATGTGTAATCAGCATTTCTTAAAAAATTTCAAAGAAGAAAAACATTTTTCAGAAGGCATCTAATAACCTCAATAATAGTACACATACTTTTATGCATGCTTTTTCTGTCCCATTCTTTTTTTAGCTTGACTATTCGATAAGAATAAGTAGAGCTATTGCAGTCACCCGAGCATCGGTGTCTGCGTCGGCATAACCACTTATGTTAAAGTTTTTGTAATACCTCAAATATTTTCAAAGTCCATTTGACATATGGCTTTGAAACTTTGCACATTTGTTCACCATCATGGACCCCAACCTGGTAGACAGGAGGAGGTAACTCTATCAAGCATTTTTGACAGAATTATGCCCCTTTTTCGACTTAGAATTTACGTTAAAGTTTTTTTTGTAATATCTCAAATATTTTCAAAGTCCATTGACATTATGGCTTTTGAAACTTTGCACACTTGTTCACCATCATGACCCCAACCTGTAGACAGGAGGGGAGGTAACTCTATCAAGCATTTTGAAGAAATAATGCCCCTTTTTCGACTTAGAATTTATGTTAAAGTTTTTGTAATACCTCAAATATTTTCAAAGTTCATTGACATATGGCTTTGAAACTTTGCACACTTGTTCACCATCATTACCTCAACCTGTAAACAGGAGGAGGTAACTGTATCAAGCATTTTTTTTTACTATCAAGCACTTAGAATAGTTGAGCCTTGCTGTCCTACCGACAGCTCTTGTTTAATAATCATTATTAACATTCTTGTATCGTTTTTGGGATCCAGTGCTTTGTACATGTAAATATTTTCATAAATATATATTGTTATCACATCTTGATCATGAATGCTGTTGATGGGTGAAACCTGTTGATATTTCCATCTCATTTTTATTTATAAGATTAGGAAATAAAAAAAAAAACTATGGAAAGTGAATAATTCTTTTTTCTCCCTACTTATCTATATTGTGTTATTATGATGAATATATGGTCACGTTCGTACAATAACTCAGTGAATCCTATTAAATTTAGAAGGAAAGTTTCTGTACTAAGATGATGATATACCTTCCATTTAGCCAAATCACCTCAAATTAGAGGATAAGACTTTAGTGTGCCTAACCCAGCAAGATGTATAAACAAGAGGGCCATGATGGCCTGAGGTCGCTCACCTGTATATAGCCCCCCCCCCCCCCCCCCCAACCCCAATGTTGCAGGGCCAATTTAACCCAAGGGCTTTTTTTTGCACAAACTTGGTAGAACACCCATAAGAAAGATGTTTCATGCTAAACATCTAAGCTCTAGCTCATTGGGCTTTTAAAAAGAAGATTTTTTTTTTAAAGTTTTTACTATACACATATAGTTAAAAACAATGACACCCCTGGGGCCGGGCTAGTTTTGACCCCAGGGCTTTTATTTGAACAAACTTTGTAGACACTTACTAGAAGATGTTTTCATGCTTAATATCTAAACTCTAGCTATTTGAGTTTTTTCAAAAAGAAGATTTTTAAAGTTTTTTTTGCTATACACATATAAAGAAAAAATCAATGACCCCCAGGGCGGGGCCAATTTTGACCCCAGGTCTTTTATTTAAACAAACTTTGTAGACACTCACTAAAAGATGTTTCATGCTAATATCTTAACTCTAGCTATTTGGGTTTTTTAAAGAAGATTTTTTTTTAAGTTTTTGCTATACACATATAAGGAAAATCAATGACCCCCGGGGCGGTGCCAATTTGACCCCAGGGCTTTTATTTGAACAAACTTGGTAGACACCTATTAGAACATGTTTGATGCTAAATATCTTAGCCATAGCTCTTTGAGTTCTTTAAAAGAAGCTTTTTAAGTTTTTTACTATATGCATATAGGGAAAATCAATGACCCCCCGGCGGGGCCAATTTTGACCCCAGGGCTTTTATTTGAAAAAACTTGGTAGACACTTATTAGAACATGTTTCATGCTAATATCTTAGCTCTAACTCTTTTGGTTCTTTAAAAGAAGATTTTTTTAAGTTTTTACTATATGCATATAGGGAAAATCAATGACCCCCTGGGGCGGTGCCAATTTTGACCCCAGGGCTTTTATTTGAACAAACTTGGTAGACACTATTAGAACATGTTTTGATGCTCAATATCTTAGCCATAGCTCTTTGAGTTCTTTAAAAGAAGATTTTTTAAGTTTTTACTATATGCATATAGGGAAAATCAATGACCCCCGGGGCGGGGCCAATTTTTTGACCCCAGGGCTTTTATTTGAACAAACTTGGTAGACACCCATTAGAAACATGTTTCATGCTAAATATCTTAGCTCTAGCTCTTTGGGTTCTTTTAAAAGAAGATTTTTTTAAGTTTTTACTATATGCATATAGGGAAAAATCAATGGACCCCCTGGGGCGGGGCCAATTTTGACCCCAGGGCTTTTTATTTGAACAAACTTGGTAGACACTCACTAGAAGATGTTTCATGCCAAATATCTAAGCTCTAGCTCTTATGGTTTTTTAAAAAATGATATTTAAAGTTTTTTCTTTCGGTTGCCATGGCAACCAGAGTTCTGCATGGAATTAAATTCTTTGAACAATTTTTAAAGGTGACCACCAAAGGAACATTCCTGTGAAGTTTGGATGAAATTGGCTTAGTGGTTTATGAGGAGATGTCATTTAAAGAAAAAGTTTACGGACGCCGGACGGACGCCGGACGAAAAGCTATCACAAAAGCTCACCCTGTCACTTTGTGACAGGTGAGCTAAAAAAGGGGGGGGGGGGGGAAGAGACAGGTATGAGGATCAAGAAAATACTATCAAGAAGCGTATTTTATTATAAAATAGATAAAGACATGCTAATTATCATTCTATATCATCCACCTCTTCATGGTATTCTGTCACAGCTGTTGCTTTTTGCTTTGCAAATTTCCTGAAAAATTAATATTAACACAATAACATTTACTGATAAAATTTTTCTGAGAGTAAATTACATATTAATTAAGTTTGATATATTTCGACAAGAGGCAACCAGTTTACCCTAATTCCTCAAAAGGGAAAACATCTGATTTGTCAGGGATGGCTGGTTTGATAGTTGGACATAATTTCTTTGTGACAATTTATCTCATGAATTGCGTCTAAACTCTTAATGTTCATTTGTGTCTCACAATTGATTCAGAAATCATGTAAGATGAGTATTTGTTATCTTGCGGAGAAATTGGTAACTGGTAAGTTATGTAGATCACCATGTACATTGCATAGATCCCTATTTATCAGATTAGTGGATACAATAAGAATTTCACCACAACATGTGTTAACAAAACAGCACATGTTTTTGTTTGTGGTTAAATCTATTGTTATTCAAATAAAAGGTCTATTATTTGTCTGCCATATTTTATTAAAGTCTATGATGTTTGGGAACAGTTGAGGTAAGGTCATAAGACCAGGGTCCAAGGTTATAAGAATCTGGAAACAAAGTGATTCCTCGGAAGCATCAATTACAACAAAATAAGAGCATTGCAGACTCGGTTTGATTGAGTCTGTACATGAGGTATATTGAATACGTGCAACATACCTCACGCCCCCTAGCACCGGCAAAGAGCGGCACTCAAGTTTCAACACTGAATAGTGCTGGAATCAATGATCCCGAAAGACCAGAAAAATATAACAACACTGAAGTGAAGTACTGGGCAACTCTTTACAGCTGCCACACAGCACTTGACACCTGCTGTTTGAAGTATAAAAATCTGGAAACAAAGTGATCTTTTGGAAGCATTAATTACAATAAAATTACAAGAGAATTGCAGACTCGGTTTGATTAAGTCTGTACACGAGGGATAATTAATATGTGCAACAACCCTCACTCTCCCTAGCACTGGCATAAAGAATTTTCCTGTGCTCGTACTCAAATCTCAGACATATGATAGGTCAAAAACCAGCATAGAATTTATGACGACATATGAAAATCCTGAGATTTGAGACTGATCTCAGAAAAAAGTTTTATAATCTCCAGGCCAGGAGTGAAATAAAGGTTATCTCATCAGAAAGTGTTTATTAAGCAACTTCATCTTAAGAGATTTTCTTTAAAAAAAATCTGAAAGTAAAAATTGATTTTTAATTACCTTTTAGCCATGACAAGGGCCTTAACTTCCATAAAGTTAAGTTCTTCTTGGGTGTGACCACTTGCTTTTAAAACACCATAACATGCCAACCCAGCTATAGTTCTGTAAAATAAAACTGTCTTTCTGTATAATAAGCAACTTTTGGTAAAAAAAACAAAAAAAACCATTTTCTTTTAGCAACAGATTCCAGCTTTTCTGGGGTAAAAGAAAACAAAACAAAGAAACTCAGGCACTAAATCTTTCACAAGCAGATATCTTCGTAGCAACGATGACTTCATGTTACCTAGCCAGATAGGTTCCCCATATGAATGAACAACCAAGTCCATAGGAAACAAATTTTCCCAAATTAGCTCCTCTTCTAGCTGGTGTTACTGACTTGATTCTTTGTTAGTTATTTTAGTAGCAACACTACCGTAATAGTCATATGGCAAGTTTGCAGTTTTTCTGGTGGAGGAAGACTTGTGATGGACTTGTGATGCTCTGTGCATTATTTCAGGCAAAAGTGGACACCTGCGTAGAACCACAGACATTGTGTAAGCTAGCTGGATTGTTTCCTAACATGCAAGAAACAAAGTCCCTGGCAGGATTCAAACCCACAATTTTGAGGGGCAAAAGGTTTAAAGTCAATGACTTTATCCACTTGACCATGGATGCCCCCTTACAGGACTGATAAAGAAACTTAAAACAGCATCTCATCGAAATGAACATGTGTTCTTGGTTCAGAAACTTTCATTGAAGAGGGAACAGTTAAATTTTAGCAAGTCAAGGGTCATAACTTTATGGTTTTTAAACTAGTACAAAATACAAGAAGTAAGACATATATACAGCATGACTATGAAACGAAAATTAGCTATAAGGCAGGGCTATTTCCTACCACGGACAAGCCTCAGGGGATGCCAACAACGACACCGCTGACAAAAGTAACCCCTCTATGTTGCCTTTTCAAAGCGACACAACAAAATAAACACAGAACAGAGTCTCTTATTGTTTTCTACCATTACCCTATTCCACATGCCTTATTCTTACTTCTTGGTCATTTGATTACAGACAAAAAAAAATGAATTTTTATTTGTGCAAGTCTATGAGCAACAAGGGAAGCCCAGAATGGGTTATTCTAACCCAATAGTGTCAGGATTTTATATATCATTGATTACTTGACAATGCACCACAGCAAATCTCTTAATTCTTGGCCTGTAAGTTTCTCATAAAAGGCTTTTAAAAATTTCATTTTAAAAAATCTTAATAAAGTTTGCGTGACTACTTATGCATTAGACTATGGCCTCATATTTTTTTTACTTCAAAAGCTGAAATTAGGTACTTACCCAAAAGCTGCACCAATTACGAAGCCAGAAAACATGCCTTTTGGGCCAAGACTTATTTTTCCCAAACTTCCTGTTGCACCTGAAGGGAACAAACATGAATAAAGATTATACATGTAATTAAATGAAAAAAAAAATTACATGATGATATTTAAAGCTCAAATGGTACTGTTTGAGGGTTAAATTAAATTTTAAATTAAATGTCATGAGAATTCTAAAATGCACATCTCCATGTTTAGGTGGCTTCTTGAGCATTGTTTGAAGAAAATCCTTCAAGTGGTACAGGATTTATAGAGCAAACATGTGGAGACAGCCAAATCAAGAAAAAGACCAACAATACAGTGATTCCAGTATACATGTAGCTCACATATAGCTCACATATCATCATGTTTTGGGGGTATAAATACTTAATCTCTAAACCACTTTACATGTTAAAGGTTTTGAAGAGTTTCAAAGTTTTTCCTTCATACTGCAACAGCATTTCTGCATGGAAAGGAATTATTTATACAAATTTGATATGATTTTCTGTCCCTGCCAATTTTCATCTACATTTGCCCACCCATGCTCTAAAAATCAAACAGCAAGTCATCTTCATAGCTCACTTACAGATATAAACAGTGCACATACAAACTGTGTGTAAATTCATTTGACAAAAGAAAAATTTAAAATGGATCATATGTCATTTACTCAAAATAGATCATACATACACTTACTCAAAATGGATCATACATACACTTACTCAAAATGGATCATACATACACTTACTCAAAATGGATCATACATACACTTACTCAAAATGGATTATACATACTCTTACTCAAATGGATCATACATACACTTACTCAAAATGGATCATTCATACACTTACTCAAAATGGATCATACATACACTTACTCAAAATGGATCATACATACACTTACTCAAAATGGATCATACATACACTTACTCAAAATGGATCATACATACACTTACTCAAAATGGATTATACATACTCTTACTCAAATGGATCATACATACACTTACTCAAAATGGATAATACATACACTTACTCAAAATGGATTATACATACACTTACTCAAAATGGGTCATACATACTCTTACTCCAAATGGACCATACATTACTCCAAATGGATCATACATACACTTACTTAAAATGGATCATACATACTCTTACTCCAAATGGACCATACATTACTCCAAATGGATCATACATACACTTACTTAAAATGGATCATACATACTCTTACTCAAAATGGATCATACATAAACTTACCAAATGCTACAGCAAATGACCATGGCGTTGTTTTATTCATGTAAATTTCTATGCATTGGTAAAAGAAGCTGAATTGAAAGAATAAAAAAACAATGAATTAAACTAGAATTGGAGATTTTAGTTTCTTTGCAATGAAATATTTTTCATTTTCTTAGCAAAAAAGTTTTCATACACAAAATAATTTTAAACCAACATAATGAACTTATTATTAATGTTTTTTTTTTGTTGTTGGATTTTACCTCACACCAACATGGTATAGGTTATACGGCAACTTTCCAGCTTTACTGGTGGAAGACCTCAAGGACCTGTCCCTGCATTATTTCATGGAAGAATGGTCACCTGAGTAGAACCACCGATAGCTGGATAGCTTCCTCACATGAAAGAATCTAAAGTCCCTGTCAGGATAACAAACTTACAGGGGCAAGTGGTTTGAAGTCAACAACCTTAACCATTAACCTTAACCAATGAAGTTATTGAGTGGGGCCAATTACATGTATGTTGTATAAAATAGGCTATGTAGTAATCAAGACAAGGAAATGACATTGTAAACAACAGGCAATGAAATTATTAAGGAGAGGACATGATGTTGTAAACTATAGGCAATGATATTTTTTACTTTAATGAAAGTCAATGATGTAAACAATAGGCAATGAAACTATCAAAAGGATATGATGTTAAAATCAATTGTTTAACATCATAAACTTAACAATGAACTTGCATTTTGTCACCTTTTGTTTACTGTTGTTGTTTTTTTCATTCTGTCTTTTTTATGCTAATTTAAAATACTTTGGTTATTTTCTGGTAATGGGCCCATCCTCCTGCCTTTACTTTATAACTAACTAGTAATTACCAATTCCTTCACAAGTGACCCAACTACTTAATTTTTTAATCAGAGGTGAGAGTTAAATTACTATTAGACTCAATTTCAAGTACACCTCTCTCTTGGATTGGACCAATCTTCCTAATAATCTACATATGAAGCTTAGCAGAGAAACTTGTTAAGTAGAATAAATGAACATGTTAAGTTGATGAGAGGTAGTGAATTTCATGTAGAAATCAATATAAGCAGACGCAATGTGGTTGAGGTGCCTGAATGATATTGATAGAGGTAGTGAACATATTGAGGAAAAATAATATGATTAGATGTTACAAACTTCCTTAGGAAAGACAATGGTGTTCATGATAGGCAATGACAGTGATGAGAACCAATGGTTTGATGTGAGGCAATGGTGTTGATGTGAGGCAATGGTGTTGATGTGAGGCAATGGTCTTGATGTGAGGCAATGGTCTTGATGTGAGGCAATGGTGTTCATGATACTCAGATAGGCAATGACAGTGATGAGAACCAATGGTTTGATGTGAGGCAATGGTGTTCATGTGAGCCAATGGTGTTCATGTGAGCCAATGGTGTTCATGTGAGCCAATGGTGTTCATGTGAGGCAATGGTGTTTCATGTGAGCCAATGGTTTGATGTGAGGCAATGGTTTGATGTGAGGCAATGGTGTTCATGTGAGCCAATGGTTTGATGTGAGGCAATGGTGTTCATGTGAGCCAATGGTTTGATGTGAGGCAATGGTGTTCATGTGAGCCAATGGTTTGATGTGAGGCAATGGTGTTCATAGGCAATGGTGTTTGATGTGAGGCAATGGTGTTCATGTGAGGCAATGTTGTTCATGTGAGGCAATGGTGTTGATGTGAGGCAATGGTGTTCATGTGAGGCAATGGTGTTGATGTAAGGCAATGGTGTTCATGTGAGGCAATGGTGTTCATGTGAGGCAATGGTGTTGATGTGAGGCAATGGTGTTGATGTGAGGCAATGGTGTTGATGTGAGGCAATGGTGTTAATGTGAGGCAATGGTGTTCATGTGAGGCAATGGTGTTCATGTGAGGCAATGGTGTTGATGTAAGGCAATGGTGTTGATGTGAGGCAAAGGTGTTGATTTGTTGATTAAAAGGCAATGGTGTTGATGATAGGCAATGACAGTGATGAGAGCCAATGGATCTGATAAGAGGTAATGGTGTTGATTGATGAGAGACAAAAGTTTCGATGAAAGGCAATGGCTTTAATGATAAGCATTGGTGTTTATGAGGCATTGGTTTTTACAAGAGGTAATGGTGTTATGGGGGAGGCAATTGTGTTATGAAGAGGCAAAGATGTGGATGATAGACAATGGATTTGATGATAGACATTGGTGTTTATAAGGCAGTGGTGTTAACAAGAGGCAATGGTGGTGATGAAATGCAAAGCTTTTGAGGAGAAACAATAGTTTTGTGGAGGCAATGATTTTGAGGATTGGCAAAGGTTTTGAGGACAGGCAATGGTTTTGAAGAGATACCATGATTTTGAAGATAGTCAATGCCATTAATACAGATCCTGACATTGATGAGAACAGCCAATATTTTAAAAACAAGTGAAGACATGGGAGAGATATTTAGCAGAGACAATGAATTGCTAAAAGAAACCTTCAATCATTGTTGAACAAATTATACTTACAATGAAGACATGCAAAAAAGGCCTCCTTTTAATGATAAAGATATTCCTTCTTTTAGTAAACATTTCATTTGGTAGCGTGCTCTTGTTTTCTGCAATGAAATATTTAATATTTTAATTTTAATTTTAGAGTCACATCAATCTTAAACATGAGGGCAAAAGATTGGTTTTTCAAGTAAAAATTCTACAAGTGTGTCAAAAGATCATCACTTTGACTATCAAATATTAATGTACAATTCCATACATAAAACTATATCCAATGTCCAAATTTGAGGACAACAAGTTAAAATTCCAGTAAAATAATTGTTTGAAAATGCAAAAGTAAAATTATAAATAATAACATTTTCTTTTGAGATTTTGCTCATTAAACAAGCCCATGTAACTATAATAATCCAAGAGTGTAACAGATCTAGACCAAAATTTTCAGAAAAGAACATTTAAATACATGTATGTTATTCCCTTACATGTAAAAGTGTATTAAAATAGGTGATCACTGGTTAAGGCCATGCTTGAGTCATGAAATTTGCAGTCACTTACAAAAAAGTATGATTTTTAGGTCCACTTTTCAAAGAAAATAAATGGAACAAATATCATTACCCTCTCTACTACAGTGTCTGCATCAAACCTGTTTATCCTTTTCATTATAATCCATTTTCTCAGAAACTATAAAAGCTTTTTACTTTAATCTTGGTATACATTCACTATTACATGGTTATTATCATAAAAGGATGCCATTTTAAAAGGGCAGATAATCCTTAAATTATTTTTTTTGTTAAGCTATGCCCGTTTTTCAACTTTCTTAAATAAATGAGCCAGGGTCAATCTAGTTTCATACACATTAAGGTCTTACCCTAAAATTTGTTGTGTCTTAATATGAAGTCAATCCATAACAAATTAATATATCCAAAAAACAGCCAAAAAAGAAAGAAATAGTATTACCATCAAAGTCATGGTCTGTATGGTTAACTTGGGGGTCTATCCTAAAAGACTGTTGTGCTCAAGTTTGAAGACAATCCATTTACAAATAACAAAGATATAGCCACTAACAGCATTAAAAAAAAACAAGCAAAAATGAAGCAAAATTTAGACATAAATTTGACTTTGAAGGTCAAAGTCATTTATGAATGAAGACCAAGTTTAGTCTAGGCTACTTGAAGGTTTTGTACCAAGGGTTATTATCAACTTAAAAAGATATGATTGACATTGAAGTTTGCAGACGGCAACAGCAACAAACACCAACATGACTGTAACAATACCTCTATTCATTTTCTTTGAAAAGAAGTTGAGCTAAAAATTATTACATTGTACTTACATGATATGTACTTTTTGTAGCAAACATAGTCATTTTGTTGCTTTCAAAAAATTCCTTTCGACCTTCAAAGAAACCTTTAAATCCACCAAAACAGAAGAATAGACCAAAACATGCATGCACCACAGTGTCAAAGCGTTGTCTCTGTTCTGTGAATGTTCCAGTCTTCACACTGTAAAATCAATTTCATTAACAATAAAAGAGCATTTCTAAGATGATTTAACATTACTTTGAAATTATCACATGTTTTATTCATGCATTCTTATAATGAAAGGGCCATGATTGCCCTGTATTGCTTACTAAGTTCTCAAGAAGAGTTTTTCTCTGCCCTGTATGTTCAAGCCTTTCAGATAATATTAAAATTCTCTACACAACACATTCCCTGTATGTTCAAGCCTTTCAGATAATATTAAAATCAAATAAATTGAACCATTCTGGTAAATGATAACGCAAGAAACATCAATGTGAAATAGAATCAAATGAAACTAACATTTTTTATGTTTTATTTATTCATTTTTTTTTTATTTTTTTTTTTCAAAGTTAAAAAAAATGATGGAATATTTTGTTAGCAAGTGAAAAATATGCCTGCATGTTGTATTAGCCATTGTACAGTTCATAACTCTGTTATACATTTAATACAGGATCAGTCCTTTCAAAGAAAGAATAGAACTCTGCTGGTGATACAAATTTTGTATCTGTAAAAGAGATTGCAAAATGTTTGGGTGAAATACTCTCATGGTATTTACAACAGTAATTAATATGCAGCCACATTGTGTCAGCTATATGAAAATTGAGAAAATTAAATCATAACATTATCATAAATGATACTATATATAAATGATACTACTTGTATTTATATATATATATATGTAATAATTACAGACTTACTTGAATGAAAATGTTCTTTTAATTCTGTCTATAGGTGACTCATTAGCTATAAAGGTTTGAATATCACTTTCTAATTCCTGCATTTCCTTGATTTTTGCCTTGGTTTTAAGTGAATCTGTACTGACCCCTTCATACACTGCAGCCATACATGACAGCTTCTTCGGTTGTAACATGTTAATGATCTGTTTATAAATTGACCAAGAAACTTCATTCCTAGTTATATTATTCACAGTAGGTAGAATGTCACCACGCTTCATTAGTATATTAAAATTGTGTCTTAGAGGCCTGCTTCTAAATGCATTCTGGCATGTATGGTCAGGACTTTTCTTGTCCAAGGCCAACAATGCATCAGAAAAACAGTTTAAATCTGTCATTTCAACCTGGAAAATAAAATATACAAGTGCACTTAACAATATGAAGCTTGGAGTTGGACCTTGATTTTTTGATAATTCTCAGAAATGGAATCATGGATGAAACTGTAAACACATTTGGTATTTTAAGAAATTGTTGATGACAAAGGACAGACAATGGCTTCTCAGACAGACGGGGATTGCAATAGCTCACAATGAGCATGTTTTGCCCATTTGAGCGTAAAAGAGGCAAAACTGTGTTTAAATGCAGCAAGATGTATGAAACTGTGTAACCCTGATCTGGTCACAAAAATTTAATAAAATTTTTAATTTAAGGACCGTTTTCAATGTCAAAAAGGGGCATAAAATTTGCAATAAGAGCTGTCTGCTTATCTTCGAGATGAAAAACCAATTTTATACTTTATTGAAATTATCTGCTAAACAGGTGGAAATCAATGGGGCCGTCTGATCTGCAAGGCGAAAATACAGAGGTCCGAAAACGGAAAGCCGACCTCCAAAAACTAATTCCAAAAGAAGGTATATTATCAGTTTAAAACAAGGTAAAAGTATGATGCGTATTTATAAACAGATCATACTGAAAAGCATTTTGAAGACTACAAGTCAATTAAATCTAGAATATTCACCATATCCAACAAAAAAATGTTTCTATACCTTGAAGTCTGATCACAGTTACCTCCCCTCCGAGTGTTGGGAAAATCCCACAGTTCGATATCCGGTCAAGTATGACTAAAATATGTACCGTAACGGATCTTTTTTGTGCAACGCGCGCTTGGAGCATACAGTACAAATATTGCACTTGTGTGAGTAAATGAAGAATATGCACACATTTTATAATTTCAAAAAATATATAAGCCTTGTATTTTTTATAATCATTACGAATCATTTTATAATGCTGTATCCATATATATATATAAGCACTGCCAGTTTTCAATCAACACCAATATTCAATCATCTGTAGAAATTCATTACTTTTGACCTTATTTGTCATGTAACAAAACTGTAAGCACATATTTTGTTTATTTATCAGCAACAATGTATATTATGTTGATAAAATGAAAATACCAGTATTTTAGTTCAAAATATGTAAAATATATACGATTTCCTTTACCCAGTTACAAATCACAATTATTTTCTAAAATATTTGATTTACAGACTCAGTTTTTTGTCAGTCTGCAAAAATGGATATAAAGTTGGACCTCTGTTTCACTATCATTAAGTCATAATGTATACTGCATTGCAAAAGCTATAATTTTGATATGTACATATTTTACTGTACAATTCTTAATCTGAACGTAATCCGTCATTAAGTTACAGTCACTTAACCAAAGAAAAACATTCTCTCTGATAACTTTTCAGTAAACTGTCACTAGAAGGGGGTCATATAGACCCTAATATCAAAAAAAAACTTTCACAAGAACATGTTGTTTTTTTTCCTGTTATGCAAATTGAGATGTACATCCATACCCCAATTGTGACAGCTTTACTACTGCAAATAGATATCAAAATTGAAAAATGGCTTTATAAATAGGTTGAAATTGTTTATTACCATTTATCTGAAGTTAATGTATTCAAAATTTCCTCAAAATACATAACTGGTAATATTTAATAATTGTATGTCATGTGGTACAGTATACCTGATTGAAAAGTGCTATTGAAATTTTGAAGAACATGAAAATGGGTTATAAATGGTTTGACTACGATGCATAATAATAATTCAGGTAAAATTTCAAGAAGTTGCTGCATTTGTTAGCCGAAATGATGATATTTGCAGATTTGTAAAAGAAATATATTATGTTTTATAATTTCACTGTCAGTTATTGTAGAAAAATCTGTTAGCTGATCAGAAATTAAGTGGCAGTACGGGGACACTTACACGGTTCCCATGACAATTTTGTTATTTTTAGGTACATATGTGTCATGGAATGCAAATATGGGGTTTCTTGACCAAATTTTTGATTTTCACTTTTTTTAATTTTCTAAATCTACGAAATATCAGAAGTAATTCCTGAAAATTTGAAGGTCGTGTCTTTCTTATTTACAAAGTTATACATAATTTTGTGAGTATGGTGTACAGTAAGTAATTAAAAATACACATAAAAATCTTTTTGATCTTGTGATGTTTAAAGGTGTATGAAGGGAAAACAACCTTTTTGAAAGCTAAAATGATTTTGTGAAAAAATTGTTTTAATGGTTTTAAGAGTTTTTTAAAAAAAATGGTTGTCGAAATATTTTTTGGAATAAGCCCCAACCCATCATTTTAAAGAAATCATTTACATTGTGTTTGCCTTAGGCAACGGACCTATTTCCCCCCCCTGGGTTTCTTGGCCCCTGGCCGCTTTTTTTTTCGTTGTAAAAAAAGTTATGTTGCTAGGGTTTTATTTTATACACCTTTTGCCCCAAGTATCAATTCGAAAATATTCTTCTTTCACATTTGCAAATAGTTTCTTTAATTGCATTTCTACAGTGCTAACAGGACATATTACTGTTGAGAGATATCATAATACAACTTCAAAAGAACTGAACACAGTGTCCATTTATCTTTTCATTTATTAACTTTTATTCAGATATTTACTCTGACAGCAGACAACAGTTTAATATAACAGTAATGAAAGATGACTCAAGTATAACATCATCAAAGGTAGTGACACTAAATATAGGGCATAATTACACAAATACAACATGAAGGAAGCTATATTTTGCTGTTACCTAGCAACCATGGAATATTTCTAAATTTTTGTAATTTATTTTGTAAATATACAAATTTCTTGGTAAAAATACAGCTAACATAGTAGCAGAAATAAATAAATTTTCAATAAAATTATAAACAATGCCTATAAATTACTTTTTCAATAATTTTCCATTGAAGATATAACATACAATTTATGTTCTGCACACTTGACTAGTGTTAGTAAGTCATGCAGATTTTAGCAGAACTCAGTATTTTTGCCATGTATATTGCTCTGTATGTTTTACAATAACCAATAAGCATTTGATCAAATCACTGTTACTTTCCATATTACATAAATAATATTTTTATCTGCTGTATAACTGATTTACATAATACCCTAAGCAATAAGTAAAAATTAGTCAGTGTTGCCAAGCAACCACAAAATCTTCCATAGTTTCCTTTTAAATTTTACAAATTTTAAGTTTGATTAAAAAAGATCTCAAAATACCATGAGCAAAGCAGGATGATTACAAAAAACAAATTACAACTATTAAAACTGCAAATAAAATCTTAATAATAGTTCTTGGATCAAAGTATCCTTAAACTCACTTTACTATAGGTTTTTGAATTTATATAGATATTATTAATATACATAATTTCATAAAAGTATGTTCAGTTACATCTGGTGTTAACTACACTGTTTCACAACAATGTAAGGACTTTGAATTAACTAGCATTATATTTAATTAAAATGACATAAAGATAATTCTTACAAAAAAATGTTCCTTACTTAAAACTGCCTCTGCATATAATTAGGTTGCTTAGCAACCAATGAATAATATTTTTTTTTTTTTATAAATTTCTAAATTTCCAAAATTTTACAGGCATACAGGAGATTACAACTTAGTTAAAAATAGCAATTTGTGCTATTATAAAAAAATGAAAACAATATCACAAATAATGTGTAACTGAACTTAATAAGGTATTCAGAGAACAGTCTGCCTCACCATTCCTTAATAATATAAATTAAAAATGATACTTCTAATATCATGCTCACAACATTTATTTTCAGGTACATTTAAGGTTCTCTGTTTTAATATTTTTTAACTTAGTGATGATTATTTTTCAATTATTTTCAATGTGATCAAACATATAAAGTATTTTTATTATGATGCACCTGTTTAAAATCCTTCCCAACTGAAGGGAATATTGGTTGCCTAGCTACCATTTAATATTCTTTGATTTTGCTACTTCTTTTTAACAATTTTAAGGATTGGTTGATAATTTACAATGTGATTCTACACTAAATATCAACATAAAAATTCAACTGACCTATCATTGTTATAGATAAAGTATTTTTCATATTCTACAACTAAAAAATGTTTAAAATTTGACAACAAGTACTGAAGCTTAATGTTACTTTACATTTTCATACAGTCATTTTCAATCTAGATTAAAGCTTAAGATCAGTTGACAGTTGATCAATTCATAACATGCATAGGTTCAATAGAATTCTATAACTTAGAGTAAAATGACAAATGTTGTATTACACTAAACTTAATCTAATAAACATTTTGTAAAAATGATGGAAATTAGTAACTTGTAAACTGACATGGGATCCAAAACATAATATAGGCAGCCTTTAAATAATATCTATGCATCAATGATCCACACACTTGTTAATATAGCATTAGTCCTTAGAAGCACCAGTTATGCAACACACTTGCAGTCTTATCTTTATGAAGCATCTACTTGTATCATAAGCTATATTTGAAATGAAGAAAATAATGACAGTCCATACATGACCACTATGTTATAGGAACTCCAATTATACTCAAGAGTAAAAAGACTGCTCTTTCTCTTTCCACCCTTTTTTCTCATAATTGTCAATATCCAACTTTATTTCTGGTTTTATAACTGGTTTTTGGCCACACATTATTTTAGCTATGTCAGATTTGAAGAACTGCCCAATTTGTTCAAATAGACACCTAATGTCTTGCTGCATCATTACTGTACTTCAGGTAAAAGACCTCTGGGAGGCAAATTGTTTCAGTAAAAAACATTTTTACCTCTACAGAGTTAATATATTCTTTACATGTTATAACACTTGGCTCCATTGCACTTGCACAAAAATGGTGGTATTTGGATAACAGTTTGAGGGCTTAACTTAATAAATGACTTCATAGGGATTTTCTGGATCATCTTTAAGCTGTAGGATATTGTGCCCATATCTTGATGACTTCAGGACAGTACACTTAGGCAACCTGTTGCACTGTTTTTTCACTTTCCAGATATAAAAGTACCAAGCATGTTTGAGACTGACACTTCCATGAAGTCCTAAAATACATATTAAATTGGAAATTTAAAAAGTTTGCATAGGATATAAATAGTACTTAAGTAAATAATACTTAAAATTTAGAATTATATTTAACTGAATATTCCTTTTTGCAACTGAAAATACTATAGCATAGGAGAATAAATTAATAATAAAATTCATGGCAAAGGAACACATCTGACAAGAAAAAAATATAGAAATCTAAACTTGAAATAATATTTTTTAAACCATGTTTTTTTTACAATATGCCACATGAAAAAATAAGTCAAAAAAATGTTATGGGGCAAACTAACCTGATCCCTCTACACAAACACCAAACACATGGAACATTCTTGGTGTCCCTAAAACATATTGGATCAACCGGTTGAGAATGATGGGAAAAGTGCACTTGTTGGGCATAATCCCAAAAAGGTTGGAGTTCTTTACATCAAAGTGCATGGTGAAGTGCCTGAAATGTACAGTATTAAATTTATAAATTATGTTTTTTATTGATATACAGTTATACAATTTATAGAACAGTCAGATCTTTCCTGAGGTCCTCATGTTTTTTTGCTAATAAGGCACCTGCAGATATGATTCCTTTAATAAGACTTGTCATAGGGCTGTGACTTTTTTTAATTTAATATATTAGTTTTTAATCCATTTTCAAACAAGTTTCAGGCTTAGGTATTCATTGATTGTGCTTCTTAAATGCT